TTGCATTTTATCTGACCACTTGTCTTCCTTTGAACTTCCATGTTTCTTTGTCTTTCATGCCTTCAGGGCATTGTGATGCTCATGATTCTCGTCTCAGGCCTCACAGTCCTCTCTCAGATTGACACGCCCACACGGTTTGAGGTTTCCCGTGAAGCGTCCTAAATTTGTGAGTCATATCGAGTGCCTGCTTGGGGTCTTCCATGACTGCGGTTCTGCGTACTGTTGCTTTAATGTGGTGTGGAAGTTTATGGTCCTAAAACAATTAGCGCGGCTTGTTAGTGTTGCATCAACTCCATGATTGGTAGTTTTAACTTGGAATTGAGGTATTTTGCACCTGCTAGTCTTTTGTGTGTCTATGCCCACTTTTGATAGGGGCATTAGGATGAATGCATGTTTAGACATGATGCTGGCTTCTTGCTGTCAATGACAAAGTATTCTGATTTACGTTTCCAGCTCATCCTGGAAGTTCTGCAGTCTGTTACGAAGTGGACTGTGCCAAATCCATCATGCAATCTTCCGCCGCCGTTTCACCACACCAAAGCAGGGCGATTCGGCGTCACGAGCAAAACCAAAGAGAGAGGTACGGAGCAAACGAACCACACCGCTAGTTTGAACGTGAACATTCATGACAGGCGATTCGCTGCGATGACCTGCTCCTCTGTTTTGATTTGTGACGAACTGTGCGATGACATAACGACAGTCGTTCGACCTGCTGCACTTCTCCTGATTTGTCGAGAATTTGAACGTCGATAAGATTTACCGACTTCCAAAAGTCGCCCAGAACTCGGCTCCCATTCCAAGCCTTCAGCCCCAAGAACTCGGTTCGGCTTTTCCCCTTTAGCCCACTTGCGCCATTCTCGCGCCTACCTTGCCCCTCGAGGTTCGGCACACCGTCAGCTGCCGCGGCGCGTCGACTACGTACTGCCTGCATTAACGAACCAAAATGACCGCTCCCAAACCAATCAGTACCTGTCAAACCAGGTGACCCCTGATTCTTCGAGCCTCGACCAGCAGGCAGAAAAAAGCACAACCCCTTGCTTCGGAACCACCACGCCTCCCCCTCCGCTTTGTTCGAGACTTCGGGGCAAATTAGCGCACCCTTCATCCACCCCACTCGGTGAAAGAGCGGTGTATGTGTTTCGCTTTCCTCGCTGCTCCTGTTGCTGCTTTTGCTGGTGCTGCTGCTGAAGCTCTGCTGCCCCGCTGCCCTGCTGCTCTGGTCATTTCCGTTCCACTCATTTCCCAAGTAATCCATCAGAGCACGTCCTCCCATGACAAGCGCAATTTCCAGTTAGGTTGCGACTTGAGGCACCCATTGCCATAGCTGCAGCCCTTTTCTCAAACGGACTTGCGACAGCGACAATATCGCATTTCATCTGGACCCACTGGGTCAAATACTCTCGCCCCTGCTCACCGCCTCTCATTACTGCAAATCGCAATAGCAAACGAGTATATCACCACTTCCTGCAGAGAGGCACCTACTACGAACTAGGTTTACACCATGGCAACGGGTCCGACCTGCAGACTCCTACTTTTACTAAGTAACCGCTGTCATTAGTCGCCGCCAGTGTCGCTTCTTAGTCGTCGCCTCTCAATCGTTTTTTTCTTAGTGCCAGTGACAGTTCCCGCATTCCCTTCCGGCCTGCAGCTATGGGTCGGACCACCTCGTTCTTCCCGTCCCGCCTACCGCGTCTCTTCGCCCTTCTCTCCCTGCTTCTCCTCGCGTCGCCGATAGCGCACCAGCTCGCCTCCGCGCAACCCGTTGCGCCGGGTGCCGTGCGCGGGAAAGCCGCGCAACCAACCGCGACCGCAACGACGAAGTCGGCCGACCAAGACGCGATCGCGAAGAAGCGGTTACAGCTGTTCCACGAAGTCGTGCAGGCGATTGCGTTTTCGCACGTCGCAAATGCGACCAACGGAACGATAATAACCCTACCTTCAACACCCTCGTCTGGGTCGACTATGGACCTCGCCGTCCTCGATACTGCGTCGTTCGCTGCAAATGGTATTAGCTATAAGGAGTTTTACTTACCGCCCGGATTAAACGTTCCTACGACCGAGTCTCAGGTGGTGTTACTGTACCAGAATTACCCTAATTTCACCGCGCCGTTTAAACCGCCGAAGGGTTACAAATACGCGGCCCAATTCGTGGGGCTGAGCGTGTACCCGTTTTCGATGATCAACAGCGCGACTCTAGTCCAACCGCTGAATGTGTCTGTAACGGATTCAAACACGCCGATTCAGGTCTCCCTGGCGTTGGACGTTTACTTTCCGGATTTTTACTTCTGCGTGACGTTTGACGCTGACGGTATGCCGGTTAATTCTACAGTAACAACCGACAGGTCTCCCCCGCCGCCGTCATCTACAACTCCGGTCACGGGTACCACCAACTACACCTGCAAATCTCCCGACCTAGGGGAATTTACCCTAGCCATCTCCCTCGAACCCCCTCCGCTATCTCCTCCGCCTTCCCCCGCTCCCCCCACTCCGCCCCCCCCTTCCCCCGTTCCTCCCCCCCCGCAACCCCTGCCTCCGCCATCCCCCGCACCATCTTCCAGCAACGACACTGTAGCACTCGCGGTGGGGTTATCCATTGGAATATTCTTCCTGCTGCTGGTTCTGGGCTGCCTCGCGTGGGTGTTTTGGCGATCGCATCGCAAGGCGAAGCTCGAGCAAATGGAGCGCGACGCGGAGAAGAAGCTGAATCTGGAGACGGCGCTGGTTGGCGGAAACCGCGCGCCTGCAGCTGGCGCGTCGAGGACGAAAGCGGTGATTGAGTGGGAGGAATCGCTGCCGTCCATTGATGGGATTTAACGGCTGCACGAGCGGCTGTGATCCGCATCTGTCCACATGCATGCACATGCATCTACGTGCGTCTAGACGCGCTCCGGTTCCGGTTGCTTTCACGTGCATCAACATGCATTCACACATATCCACATGCAAGAGGAGGTGAAGAGGGATTGAAGCAGCAGCATGCATGAGGAGGGGAATTGACTGACAGGAGGCAGTGCTGTGGTTAGCAGGAGATTCCAGTGGCAGTGGAGAAGGTTCCTGGAAGCTGACAGAGGGCTTGGGAGCTGTCAGTGGAGGTGGGAGGCGGCAGTGGAGGTGGGAGGCGGCATCAGCCTCTGGTGAAGGGATTTGCGATGGTGTGGAGTGATGATGGAATGGAGGGCAGACACGGTGGAGATGGTGGTGTGGTGTGGTGCTGTGTGGTGCTGTGTGGTCAGTGCAAGCAGTGCAGCTGATTTTGAAAATGGGAGGGAACGGTTGGAGGTGGGTATGGGGGAGGAGTACCGTAGATGCAGGCAGGTGCAGTTGCAGCAGCAGAAGCTGCAGCATGGCTAGGATTGCAAGCAAACGGGACAAATGCTCTAGGTTGATGATACAAGCATGTAGTGGTGGAACACCGGGTTATGTAGGTTTGCCCTTTTTATATTACCATCCGTATTGTTTAACTGGTTACTGTGTGGCTTTGCTTTAGGAAATATGTTACCGTATGTCTGTTTGGCACTCGATATGTTTTACATAAAGTTTTTTATGTTGCTCATGTGGTTCCTAACCATTGCATCCACTGGCATCCGCTTACAGTGGTGAAGTGAGTACAGGAAGTGGTTTCCCAGTAGCGAAACATATTCTCGAATCTCGATGGCGAATAGCGAGTACAGAATTTGCATCCATCGGGATTGGCCACGCTGGAGCCAACCTCTGACAGGTTGCGGTAACAGAGTTCGAGTTTTTTCGACCTTGTCGCAGATGGGTTCGAGTTTTTCCGACCTTGTTCGCTCCGACAATGGCGAAACTGAAAATGGCGTCAGCGTCACTTTTTGTTCCTCCTCTTTCAGCCTGATTCGGGAATCCAGTTTGTTGCTTTCTGGATTCCAGAAACCCTGAATTCCCCTTGGTGATTCCGTTCCGAACCGAAACCAATCTCTAGGTCGTTGCTGTTATGCTCGACTCATGGTTGATGATAGAAGCAGACCATTGTATGGTAGCTCACAGCAACTCCAAGTCCTGGTCCATTGTATAATTTTAACATGTCCTTAGGCCACTACAGCTTGCCGTTTTCAGAAGTGGCTATATTGGTACCCGCATTCTGGATTGTATCGGACATGGTGTGTCTAGACCGTGGTATCTTTAGTAATCTTAGCCAGCAGTGTCCCATTAACGAACGCTTAGTGCTGTAAGATCGCGTTTCCGGCAGTGATGCGGACAAAAGAAGGATGGCGACATCTACTCGTCGCAGGCCCGGATTCGCCAGTCGCAAAACGTCGCGAGCAGCTAAGGTGTTCGCCTGGCTGGTCGACGACGCTGACGAGTCGCAGGCGACATTTGGCTGCGATCAGTCGCCTGCAGGCGATCAAGCGCCGGTACGGGTGCCTGATGAAGCACAACGGACGAATATTCCAACACAGGGAAAGCAGCTGCTTCCTGGGTCGACTCCAAAAAAAGCACAGGAGACCGAACGCACGGATCCTCATGAAAATGGAATTCAGCAGTCGAAACATTATCAGAGCACCGAGTGCAGGATTCGCGAGGAGCTCGCGCAGAGCACAGACAGCACTGATAAACTGCTGCAGGTTGAAAATGAGATGTCTTGGGGACCGAGGGAGATAGAGAAGGGTCAAGTGGAACACAAGGAAGAGGGCACGATACAAGGATTAGGGAGCAGAGCAACGGGGATAGAGCATCAGGGACCAGAGCAGAAGAGTCAGGTCTTGAAGCAAGCGTCAGAGGGCAGAGCATTGGTGCAGACAGCTGCTGAATGCGCATCAGTCAAGGCAGGATTTGCTGCCGAAGCGGGGGACAACAGTGAGGATTCTCTGCTGGTTTGTGAGAAATTGGAAAAGGCAAGCGAAAATTTACTGCTTGTCTGTGAGAAATTGCAAAAACCGAGTGAAGATTCGCTGCTGGTTTGTGACAAGTCTCAGAAACGAAGTGAAGAGTTACTGCTTCCGTTGGACGTTCAGGAGCGAATCAATGCGAATCGGCAATCAGCCATGCAGAGGCGAGCAGAGAGGATGAGGCGGCAGGTGGACGGGGGAGAGGAGAGTGGGGATCATCATCATCAACAACAACAGCAGCAGCAGCAGCAGCAGCAGCAGCAGCAGCAGCAGCAGCAGCAGCAGCAGCAGCAGCAGCAGCAGCAGCAGCAGCAGCAGCAGCAGCAGCAGCAGCGGAAGCAGCAGGAGCAATGCGACTACCAGCAGCGGCAACAGCAGCAGCAACAACAGCAGGCGCAGGAGCACCAAGCGCAGCAAAAGCGCCCAGTAGCTCCTCTGCAGGTGTCTCTAGAGCTCGTTTCAACAGAAGAGTTCTGTGTCTTTGCGGATTGGGACACAAGCGGAGCTGCTTACAAGGAGTACATGAGAAGGGTTGGAAGAGAAGCAAGCAGAGCGCCTGGCGGGCAGAACGGGAGAGAATCCGGCACTGGTCGAGGAAATCCGAAGGTGCCAGTGATTGGAGACGCAGCTAATACAGGGCATTCTAGTAACGAGAAATCAGTGCACCAGCGGGAAATTTCAGGAAGGCCGCAGAATGGCACGGAGGAGAATGCAGGCAGCAGGGGCAGCAGGGGCAGCAGGGGCAGCAGCGGGACGCGGTTGGACCATCAGACTGCTCTTGCGTTCTGCATGAGCTTCGTTAAGGTGATGAGACGTGGTGCTCTCTCTTTGTTATTTGATCCTCAAGGGCAGTTTCTTTCTTGCATCGATTATGTTTTCATACAAAAAAGATTACGCCGTTACACAACGATGATGAATTCTTAATGGGCTGTTGCAGTTGCAAGGTCTTGCTCCTATATATTGTGAGCGATTTTTGACAATTCTCAAAGATTCGCAGAGACACTAGTTATTCAGCTAACACTTCTGCGATCCGATCCCGTTCACTGCAATGACAGGTTCGGCCAATCAGGTGGCAGCACGTGGCAACAGAGGCATCAAGGGGCATCACCCGCCTGGTGCCGGTCTTCCCTCTTCGCCTCTACGACTCCCTCCTCTTCTCCCTCCGCTCCATTCCTCCCTTCCAAGCCTTCCAACCCCTTCCTCCAAACCGACAACCAGAGCAGTGTGAGAGAGTGAGTGTGGGGGTGCGGATACAGGGCGTGCCTGTGAGTACGTTAGGTGCGTTGAAGGAGAGGAAAGAGAGGGAGAGGATGAGAGGGATGGTGGAAGCAGCAGCATCCGCAGCAGCAGAGGTCGGAATCAAAGGAGCCACAGCAACAGCGGTCACCGCAGGAGTATCTGTTAAAGTGAAAGCAGGAGGAGCAGCAGTGGCAGCAGCAGGAGGAGGAGGAGCAAGAGGATTAGGAGGAAGAGCAGCGGAAGCAGCAGCACCAGCAGGAGGAGAAGCAGGGGCAGGATGGGCAGGAATTTCAGCAGCAGAAGGCACTCATTTTTCACCTTCTCTCAACCTCGCCTGTCCAGCAAGTGACCTGGCAGTAGGTTCGGGGCAAGGTGGTTCGACAAGGAGTGCGTTGGATCGGGAGATGGAGCAACGGCTGCCAATTCAGCTCCGGCGAGCACTGCTGCCGTTCCAGAGGGAGGGGGTGGCGTTTGCAGTGGGGAGAGGGGGGCGATGCCTGATTGCAGACGAGATGGGTGTGGGGAAGACCATCCAGGTAGACCATATACGTGTGTGTGTGGGTGTCTAAGGCCGTTCCAGAGGGAGGGAGTGGAGTTTGCATTGGGGAGAGGGGGGCGATGCCTGATTGCAGACGAGATGGGCGTCGGGAAGACCTTACAGGTGGGCTTGCCGCGAATTTGTTTGTTTGATGAGTTCTGCACACACACATGTGTGTGTGTGTGTGTGTGTGTGTGTGTGTGTGTGTGTCCGGCCGGCCTGCATGCCTCTGACTGCAGTGATCCGAGACTGACTCACGACGCACCTCCCACCCACACCCTCCTTCTGCCCCATCCACTGCAGGCCATAGCGGCAGTGGCGTGGTACATGGCAGAGGGCCCTCTCCTCGTTGTGTGTCTGGCGTGCCTCACACTACAGTACTTCCCTTGCTCCTATCCTCCTGTTGCCCCCTCTCGTCAGGCCATAGCAGCAGCGGCGTGGTACATGGCAGAGGGCCCTCTCCTCGTTGTGTGTCCGGCGTGCCTCACACTACAGTACTTCCCTTGCTCCTATCCTCCTGTTGCCCCCTCTCGTCAGGCCATAGCAGCAGCGACGTGGTACATGGCAGAGGGCCCTCTCCTCGTTGTGTGTCCGGCGTGCCTCACACTACAGTACTTCCCTTGCTCCTATCCTCCTGTTGCCCCCTCTCGTCAGGCTATAGCAGCAGTGGCGTGGTACATGGCAGAGGGCCCTCTCCTCGTTGTGTGTCCAGCCGGCTGACATGACATGCCTCAGCCTGCAGTGGACTGAGCAACTGCTTGTGGTATCTCCCACTCCTTCCCCCTCCCCCAGGCCATAGCAGCAGCGGCGTGGTACATGGCAGAGGGCCCTCTCCTCATCGTGTGCCCGGCATGCCTCAGGCTGCAGTGGGCCGACCAGTACAGCTAGCCTTAGCGCTGCCTCAAGAGGATTCAACTGGCTCTTCGCTTGCTCCCTGTCTCTCGTGTTCGGCCCGTCCATCCGCTTGCCCCGGCAGGCCATAGCAGCAGCGGCGTGGTACATGGCAGAGGGCCCTCTCCTCATCGTGTGTCCGGCATGCCTCAGACTGCAGTGGGCCGAGCAGCTGGAGAGATGGCTGCCCTTCCTGCGCCCCTCCCAGATCCACATCGGTAAGCCTCCTGCCCTCCAGACCATTGGTCTGAAGAAGGCATTGTAAGCCGAAACTGGTTACCACCGAAGTTTTACACAAGATGTTTTTTCTACAAAGTACTACCAACAACTACTGGTGTTGAATCCTAAGTTGCTGCCACGTATAAGCCCAATGGCACCTAACTGGTGTCCTCTTCGGAGCAACAAGAGAGGCGGCTTCCCTTCTTACGCCCCTCCCAGATCCACATCGTTAAGCACCTGCCCTCCTTGCACCCTTTTCGTGTCCTAGCATCGATGATTTTCTTTACCTCTTGACTCCTTTGACTGCCTGCAGTGTTTGGCCAGAGGGACGATCTAGTGGAGGAGGACAAAGGGGAGAGGTCGCTCGTAGCTGGCACGGAAGGTCACTCGAACAAGGCAAAGAGCTCAGGTGTGGTGAATCTTCAGGACCAGAGGGACGATCTAGTGTAGTGGGATCAAGGGTAGAGTGCACTAGGTGATGCTAGTAGGGATGGCAGAATGCCAAGGGTGGGCTGGATGCAGCAGTAAAGCTACCTCCTTATGTGTGTTTGCTATAGCCCACCGTGGCAGACATTTGAGGGTGGGTGCACCATTTAACATCCGTATTCTCCCTCATTCACCCCTTTTAACCGTCGCACACCTCCTTGCACCTGATCTCGTGTCTGCCCTCATTGCACCCTCCTAGCGTCCCCATAAGAGCCCTAATAGTGGCAGAGCGTTTGAGGCGAGGTGGGTGGGGCACGGAGGTGGTGCGTGGACCATTCCAGAACCCTCCTCTTGCCTCACTTACCCCTCTCAACCGCCCCGCACCTTTTCTCCCCCCACTATGCCAGCCCCAGCAGTGGTGATCACGTCCTTCACCATGGCAGGGCGCCTACGACGAACGCTGATGAGGAGGCGAGGGGGATGGGGCATGGTGGTGGTGGATGAGGCACACGTGCTGAGGACTGCCAGGAAACCGTTTGACTGCCTGGAGGTGAGAGAAGGCTTCAGACCTCAACCTCTAGAACTTACGCCTTCAACCTTTGAACCGTCAACCTGAAACCCTGGTGGGAGAGGTGGGGCATGGTGGTGGTGGACGAGGCACACGTGCTGCGCACTGCCAGGAAACCCTTTGACTGCCTGGAGGTGAGAGAATGTCCACACCTCTCTCACTCACACCGTGACCCTGATATCCTGATGCTGGGTTGAATGTTAATGAGGCGGTGAGGAGGCGAGGGGGTTGGGGCATGGTGGTGGACGAAGCTCACGTGCTGCGCACTGCCAGGAAGCCCTTTGAATGCCTGGAGGTGAATGCATCCTCTGAACCCACCCCGAACCTTGACGGTAGGGGTGTGGCACGAGTTGGGTGGGGCATGGTGGTGGTGGATGAGGCTCACGTGCTGCGGAGCGCCAGGAAGCCATTTGACTGCCTTGAGGTGAGGAAGTACCTAAACCTTGAATCTCTTTATGCCTGCAACCCGAAATCTCGATGAGAGGTGAGGGGAACAAGGGGGGTGGGGCATGGTGGTGGTGGACGAGGCTCACGTGCTGCGCACTGCCAGGAAACTATACGATTGTTTGGAGGTGAGAGAGAGGTAGCAGGGCGGGGGTGGCATGGGCAACGGATGTGGGCATGTATTGCAGAGGAGACAGGAAGGGGCACAAGGAGGGTGAGGCATCGTGGTGGTGGACGAGGCACACGTGCTGCGCACTGCCAGGAAACCCTTTGACTGCCTCGAGGTGAGATAGAGGCAGAATGAGAAAGGGAGAAATGGTATGGGGAATGGATTCAATTCGACACGTGTCATTTCTGTAATGAAGCCATGCTCTGTGTCCACCTCCCTCTTTCTAAAGTGGCTGTGGATGTGATTCGGAACACAGAGGCACCTTCTTACTCAACACTCTTCTTCCCTTACTGCCTTCCCTTTCCACCCTCTCCTCCCCACCTCCACCACCACCTCGTCTCAGACTCGAGTGGTGGTGGACGTGATTCGGCGCACCAAGGCACCAATCCAGTCAACTCAACTTCTGAGGCACCTCAAAAATAGGCACCTTTGGAGTCAACTCAAGACACATCTTCCCTGTCCACCCTCCCTTCCCGCCCGTTGCTGTCCTCCCTTCTCTCCCCACCTCTCCACGACCTCGTTCAGACTCGAGCGGTGGTGGAGGTGATTCGATGCACCAAGCGAGCCATCATGCTCACCAGCACCCCCCCTCTCTCCAGGCACTTCAACTCAATTCTCAACTTCCTTTATCGCCTTCCCTCTCCTCCCTTCCCTCCCCACCTCCCCACCTCCCCACCACCACGCAACAGACTCGAGTGGTGGTGGACGTGATTCGACGCACCAAGCGAGCCATCCTGCTCACCGGCACTCCATCCCTCTCCAGGCACGTTCCCGCACTCACCATGTGACACTGTAACGAGGTGACTAATGAGTCGACTCAAATGTCATCTCACCTCGCTACAGTGGCACCAAGCGAGCCATCCTGCTCACCGGCACTCCATCCCTCTCCAGGCACGTCCCCTTTTCACCGTGTGACACTGTAACGAGGTGATGCTGCTGCTTCTGCTGCTGCTCATTCCCCACTCTTTCTTCTCCGCTCGCTGCTTATCCTTCCTAACAAGACTCTATGAGCATCTTCTCCCCCATCCCCTCCTCTGTGCTTCTCTCTATCTGCAGGCCCTTTGATATTTTCAACCTGGTCGACAGCCTCTTTTGAGCCGGCTCAAATGTTTCCCCCATCCCCTTCTCTGTGCTTCTCTCTATCTGCAGGCCCTTTGATATTTTCAACTTGGTCGACAGCCTCTTCTAAGCCGACTCAAATGTTTCCACCATCCCCTTTTCTGTGCTACTCTCTACCTGCAGGCCCTTTGAAATCTTCAACCTGGTCGACAGCCTCTTTTGAGCTGGCTCAAATGTTTCCACCATCCCCTTTTCTGTGCTACTCTCTACCTGCAGGCCCTTTGACATCTTCAACCTGGTCGACAGCCTCTGGTAAGCCATCCCTCCCACTACCAGAGAGCCGAGCTTGAGAGAGATACATACATCAGGGTACTTCTCTCTCTCCCTGCGAGCTGGGGTTAGAGGCGCCTTTGAGGCGCCTTTTGAGGCGTATTTTGAGGCGCCTCAAAATACACCCCCCCTCCCTCCCAGAGAGCCGAGCTTGAGAGAAATACGTACATCAGGATACTTCTCTCTCTCCCTGCGAGCTGGGCCGTTCTCCTTGCCCTTTCTTCCATCTCTCTATCTGCAAACCTGTCTGGCCTGTCTGCTTGTCATTGTCCAGCCTTCTCCCCCCTGACTTCTCTCCAACCGTCTCCCCTTACGCTCGCTGGTTCACCTAGGCCTGGCCTGCTGGGCACGTCCAAGTACGAGTTTGCTCGCAACTACTGCGACAGGGGGAGGGACAGCAGAGACTTCTCGAGGGGGATTCGATTGCGCGAGCTGCACATCCTGCTGTCGCACACCGTCATGGTGAGAGACGGGGGTGCTCGTGCTGTCACACATGGTCATGGTGAGGAGGAGGGATTTTCAGTCGACTCATAACACACCTGGACGGATACAATGACTGCTGCGACCAGGGGAGGGACAGTAAGAGGGACAGCAGAAACTTCTCAAGGGGGATTCGATTGCATGAGCTGCACATCCTGCTGTCGCACACCGTCATGGTGAGGAGGGGTTTTCCCAGGTGCAGAGGGGTGCTGTCACACATGGTCACGGTGAAGAGGGGTGTGACGTGGTGAGGAGGGGGGGTGGTTGTGCTAGCCCGTTCTGCCACCTCAGGACAGCAGGGAATTCTCAAGGGGGATTCGACTGCGTGTGCTGCACGTCCTGCTGTCCCGCACCGTCATGGTGAGGAGGCGTTTTCCCAGGTGCGGAGGGGTGCAGTCACAGACCTTCATAGTGAGGCAGAGGCACGAATCATCGTTTGAGCCTTTCCCTCTTGTTCTTTCTCCCTAGTCTTGTTCCTTCTCTTGTTCCAGATGATGCAAGCGATCACGTACTATGTATGTGTGTGTGGATGGACGTTTCTCTCTGCCCTGCTGCAGATCCGTCGGCTCAAGTCTGAGGTGGCACTGCAGCTGCCACCTAAGCGCCGCCAGGTCATCAGGCTGCGCCTTGAACCATCTGACGTGGCACTTGCGGTTCAGAGAGTTGCTGAGCTGGCAGGGGGTAGTGCTGTGGTGTATAGAGACAAAGAATCCAAGGACGTAGATACAGAAGAGGGGGAGGATGGGGGAGAGGACAATGAGGACGGGGGGGAGGAAGGGGGAGAAGAGGAGGCAGGAGAGGAAGGAGAGGGTGAGGAGGATGATAGGGAAGAGGGTGAAGGGGAAGAGGGTGTGGAACAGGGAAATTTGAAGGACCCGGAAGTGGAAAAGAGCAGTGAAAGAAACAGTGAGCGGAGCTGTGATTCTGACCCTTGTAAAACGGCGGATATCGTACAAGGCAATAAGAAGGCACTTGTGGGTGATGCAAAGGCGGCCGAGGGCGGTAGGGGGAGGAGGATGAGGGCTTTAAGGGCTGAAGGGGGTAATTCAAATGCTGGTGGGGGGGATGTGGGGGGTGGAAGAGGTGGGGAAAGGGACGGAAAGGGGAGTGTGAGGGGTGGAAGCATAAGAGGTGGAAGAGGGGGTGCAAGGGGTGGTAGGGGGAGGAGGAAGCAGGGAGCAGAGGAGAGGGAGGGGCGGAGAGGAGGGAAGGTTGGGGTTGGGGGGTTGAGCCCTGAAGAACTTGGACTGGCCAAGATGAGAGGGGTGGAAGAGTGGTTGAGTCACTGCTCGGTTCTGAGGGGTTGGGAGGGGTGTGAGGAGGGCGGAGAGGAAGAGGGAGGCGAGGGAGGGGTGGGAGGCGAGGAAAGGGGAGGAGAAGGGGTTGGAGGCGGTGGGGATGTGGAGGGGGAGGGACCAAGCGAGAGGAAAGAGAGGAGTGAGAAGAAGCACAGGGGAAGGAATGGGCGGATGGTAGAGAAGATGGTGATTTTCGCCCACCACCACGTGGTGATGGACGCCCTACAGGCTGCTGTCTACCGCATTGCTGCTGCCAGCATTCTGAGGAGAGGCGATGATGAGGAGAAGGGGGGTGGGATGGATGAGGAGAGAGGGGCGGGTGAAGAGGTGGGGGGGGCAGAGGAAGTGGGGGGAGCTGAGGGAGAAAGGGAATCCCAGGGGGTGAGGGGAAGTGGAATGGCAGAGGGCGAAGGAGAAGGAGAGGAAGAGGAAGGAGTGGTGGAGATTGGAGGTGGGGATGCGGGGAGCAGGGGAAGGAGGTACGGCGACCCTGCCGAGCCTGCGTGCCGTACCAAGCCTGCCGAACCTGCCAAGCCTGCCAAAGCTGCTATGCGGTTTGAGTTGGTTCGGGTGGACGGCACCACGCCTCCTCTGGAGCGGGCCGAGGCTGTCAAGAGGTTCGCCACCGAGCCTCAGGTCCGGGTGGCGATAGTGGGCGTGACGGCGGGCGGCGTGGGCTTGGACTTTAGTGCGGCGCAGACGATTGTGTTTGCGGAGATCCCGAGGGCGGCAGCAGATCTGCTGCAGGCAGAGGACAGGGCGCACAGGAGGGGGCAGAGGTTCCCTGTGAACGTGGTTGTGTTCTGTGCCAAGGTGAGACTGCTGGAACCCTGATCCAGTCTCTCAACATAAGCGGCGAAAGATCTGCTGCAGGCAGAGGATAGGGCGCACAGGAGGGGGCAGAGGTTTCCTGTCAACGTGGTAGTGTTCTGTGCCAAGGTGAGACCACTGCAGCCCTACTTCATAGATGAGGATTCCTCCTCCCTCAAGGTGAGAGGCAAGGCAGCGGATGTGCTGCAGGCAGAGGATAGGGTGCACAGGAAGGGGCAGAGATTCCATGTGATGAACGTGGCGGAGTTCTGTGCTAAGGTGAGAGTGCTGCTTGTCTCAAGGTGAGACTCTTGCTTCCTGTCTCAAGGTGGTGAGTGGCAAATCAGTGGATTCGTTTCAAGCAGAGGACAGGGCGCACAGGAGGGGCCAGAGGTTCCCTGTCAACGTGGTGGTGTTCTGTGCCAAGGTGAGGATGTAACTGTGCTGCGTCCTGGCTCAAGGTGCATGGCATGACATATCAGCAGATCTGCTGCAGGCAGAGGATAGGGCGCACAGGCGAGGCCAGAGGTTCCCTGTCAACGTGGTGGTGTTCTGTGCCAAGGTGAGGATTCTTCCTCCTTAAAGATGGTGAGTGGCAAATCAGCGGCTTTGCTGCAGGCAGAGGATTGGGCGCACAGGAGAGGCCAAAAATTCCCTGTCAACGTGGTGATGTTCTGTGCCAAGGTGAGACTGCTGCAACCCTAATACAGGTTCTCAACATAAGCTGCGGAAGATCTGCTGCAGGCAGAGGACAGGGCGCACAGGCGGGGCCAGAGTTTCCCTGTCAACGTGGTAATGTTCTGTGCTAAGGTGAGGCTCCCTTGCTTTGCTTTTTTTTCCTCTCTCCCCCTCACCCAGGATTCCCTCAAAAGTGATGATGAGGCGGCATGGAGAGGCTGTGTCGCGGTACAGTGCAGAGTGTCGACTTTTGAGGCGCCTCAAAAGTCAATTCGGGGACGAGGCGGCATGGAGAGGCTGTGTCGCAGTGCAGAGTGTGTGTCTGCTGCTGTGGATGGGGCGAAGCAGCAAGACAGAGGGGGACAGGGATGACCCTTTTTTTGCCTTCTTTTCTCATCACTCCTCTTCTTCCCTCCATCCTGCCCCCATCCAGGACTCTCAGGATGAGACGGCGTGACAGAGGCTGTGCTGCAGTGCAGAACGAGTGCCGGCTGCTGTGGTATGGACGGGGGGGAGCAGCACGAGAGAGGGAGGGAGGGAAGTCATTATATCGCCCGTCTCACTCCACTCCTCTCCTCTCCTCCCTGCCCATATCCAGGACTCTCGGGACGAGACGGCGTGGCAGAGGCTGTGTTGCAGTTCAGAGCGCGTGTCGGCTGCTGTGGATGGGGGGAAGCAGCAAGAGGGAGTGCTGGAAGGGAAGTTATGTCACTCTATCTGCCTCCTCACTCCTCTCTTCTCGCTCCTCTTCTTCCCTTTCTCGTGCATTCCTTCCGTTCAGGACTCTCGGGATGAGACGGCGTGGCAGAGGCTGTGCCGCAGTGCAGAGCGTGTGTCGGCTGCTGTGGATGGGGGGAAGCAGCAAGAGGGAGGGCTGGTAGTGGATAGTGTTGTGGACGGGTCTGCTGTTAAACGAGGCAGGACGGAGGGGGGGGTGGAGGGAGTGGGGAGGCAGGAAAGAAGGCTTCTAATGGATAGCTTTGCTGATGGTACTGCTGTGGACGGGGGGAAGAAGCAAGAGGGAGGGTTGACAGTGGATAGTGTTGTTTATGGTTCTGCTGTGAAGCGAAGAAGGACAGAGGGAGGGGTGGAGAGAGTGGGGAGGCAGGAAAGAAGGCTTCTAATGGATAGCTTTGCTGACCAGTCTGCTGAGGATGGGGAGAAGCAGCAAGAGGGAGGGTTGACAGTGGATAGTGTTGCTGATGGTTCTGCTGTGAAGCGAAGAAGGACAGAGAAGGGGACGGGAAGCGATGAACTGGGAGAGGGGGGCAAGATTGAGGGTAGAGAAGCAGAGAAGGGCGCCGGTGGAATGGAGAGCAAGGAAGAAAAGGCCACGTTAAACAGGCCCCAACTGCCAGGCGCCTCATTGAGCAGACCGCAAGCGGAAGACATGTACGCACATGAATGTGACACCAATAGTCCTTGTCGCTGCAGGCCAGTGGGGGAGAGCAGTGCTCCTAGTAGGGATGTGGGAGGGAAGTGTGCAGCAATTCACTGTTGTGCAGATGATAAGGGAAAAATGGGCAGGGTGGAGGAAGAAGAGGAGGAGGAGGCAGATGGAAAGCGATGGACGCAGATCAAACCGGAGGACCTGCGATTCGAGGTGATTATGAATGCGCATGCCTTTGTTTCTGTCCAAACTTCCGTTTCCCAGCTTCTTTAGCCCTTTCCTCCCATGTGGCATCCTTCACAGGTCCGTGTGAGCCTTGTATCATTCCCACCTTGCACCTTTCCCTCCTTGCATTCCCTCCGTGCGTCTGTTCCATGCATGTCTGTGCTTGTGATTTCCCTACGTTGTGAGTATTCTTGCGAGTATGCATTATGCGCCTCCTTATAATCCGGTGCCATGACTTGTGGGGACTTTTAATTGGGCAGGTGAGCAATCACACGGGCAGGATCCATCTGTTCTGCAGCCATCCTGACCGTCCATTCGCCCCAGTTCCACTCGAGCAAAACTTCCATCCAGAAGATCTGGACCTCGTTATAAGCAACCCCCTTTGTGTCATAGAAAGCAAGAAGGAAGGTTCCTCTGCAGCTTCCCCCCAGCTCGCGGACTCAGAGGATCGCATGCCGCCAATCCTGCGGCGACACGTGGCGCTTCGAGAGGCCGCCAGGTCATTCGTCAGCGAGTGGGGGGCGCTGAAGCCGCAGCACCGGAGGAAGCTGCTTGGAAGGATCCTGGCGCTTCCTGTGGCGGAGGAGCTGGAGCGAGTGCTGTTCCCCCTCCCCTTCAGTGACGTCATGGTGAGCCTTCAGTGACGTCATGGTGAGCCTTCAGTGACGTCATGGAGAGAGGTGTTGTGGTGAGAGGTGTTATGGTGATAGGTGTTATGGTGATAGGTGTTATGGTGATAGGTGTTATGGTGATAGGTGTTATGGTGATAGGTGTTATGGTGATAGGTGTTATGGTGATAGGTGTTATGGTGATAGGTGTTATGCTGAGACGACTCGTTTCCGATAGTGTTTGCCTATTGGGAGCTGAGCAAGTGCTGGAGCTGAGCAAGTGCTGCTCCCGCCCCGCTCCCTTTCAGCAACGTTATGGCGAGAGGTGTTGTGGATATGTGCATTGAAAGAGTAACCCCAAATCAAGCCCAATTTCTTCCTGTGTGTGCTGTTGGCAGGGCATGGCAGGGCCGTGTGGCAGCAAGAGGAGGTGGGCAACGAGAGGGGATATACTCGCTGCCGCTAAGGAGTAACCTCCAGCTCATTTTCCTCCTGTGTGTGGTGCTGGCAGGGCATGGCAGGGCATGGCAGGGCCGTGTGGCAGCAAGAGGAGGTGGGCAATGAGAGGGGATATACTCGCTGCCGCTAAGGAGTAACCTCCAGCTCATTTTCCTCCTGTGTGTGGTGCTGGCAGGGCATGGCAGGGCCGTGTGGCAGCAAGAAGAGGTGGGCGACGAGAGGGGATATACTCACTGCTGCCAGGGAGGGAAGGGGAGTGGGTGGTGGAAGCACAGGTGGGTCAGGAGGAACAGCCAGAGGGCCATCAGCGGATGGAGGAGGAGGAGTGGTGGTGGTGGAGAGGGAGATGAGGGCGGTGAGGGTGCATGGGCGGGGCACTCGCATGCGTACAGAATGGCAGCTGTGGGGGCGACTTGCTGCTACTGCTGCTGTTGCTGCTGCTGGTGGTGGTTCTGTTGCTGCTGCTGCTGTGCCAGGAGGAGCAGCAGCAAGAGAAGGTGGAGAAGCAGCAGGAGTAGCAGGAGTAGCAGAAGTAGCAGAAACGGCAGTGGCAGCAGCTACAGCAGGGGAAGCGACAGGCACAGTGAAAGCAGCAGTTACAGTTGGAGTAGTGGTGGAGATGGCAGAACAAGCACTATCAGGGGCGGGGGAAGGAGAAGGGGGACGGGTGGCGACTGGAGAAAGAGCAGCTGCAGGGGCAGGGGCAGGGGCAGGGGCAGGGGCAGGGGCAGGCGCTGGGGCAGGGGAAGCAGAAGCAGAAGCAGCGTGTGCAAGCACTGAGCACTTGCACGAAGCCAAGTCTGGTCCTGCTGGCGTCTCAGCCTCTGAGAGTGTGCCTCGTGGCAGCAATCACTGGGCCCCACTCTGCCGCATGTGTGGTCAGATCTGCCGGTGAGACGCTCTTCTAACACCATCCCCTTAGTAACATCCCCTTTATCAGTCTTGGTGACCCTGAGAGTGCATCACACACGCTTTCCTTTCAACAATCCTCTTTACACTCCTCCTTGATACAAGGCCCGCAACATTAAATGGACCAATTTTGATAAATCTCAAAACCAACCATCTGTCAGAACGCCATCCTTAAATCACCCATCTGTCACTCGTATCTCGCTTCTTGTCTCCCGTTGTCTATCCCTCACCAGGTCTCATGCAGCAAGGGCACCAACAGTGCCACGCCCTCTCTGTTGCTCCCACTCCTGCTTCTCCACCTACCTCTCTGTTCAACTTCTATGATGTTTTTCACATTCCCTGTTTTCCCCCTCTCCTCTCTGTATACGTTTCCCTCCCCTCTCATTTCCCCCCCCTCTCCGTGTGGGTGTGTTTCTTACCAGGACTCATGCAGCAAGGGCACCAACAGTGCCCCGCCATCTCTTCTGCTCCAATTCCTGCTTCTCCACCTACCTATCCATTCATCCTCTCCATTCATCCTCTCCCTTCATCCTCTCCATTCATCCTCTCCCTTCATCCTCTCCATTCATCCTCTCCCTTCATCCTCTCCCTTCATCCTCTCCCTTCATCCTCTCCCTTCTCCTCTCTATCCCTCCCGTTCCCACTCTCCCCCGCTTTCTCTCACCAGTTCCCTCGCAGCAAGATCGCCAACAGTGCCCTGCCATCTCTTCTGCTCTGACTCCTGCTTCTCCTCACCTACCTCTCTCACTGTCACTCCGTGTATCTCTTTGTCCCTTACCAGGACTCATGCAGCAAGGGCGCCAACGGTGCCCCGCCATCTCTTCTGCTCCAATTCCTGCTTCTCCATTCATCCTTTCCCTTCATCCTCTCCCTTCATCCTCTCCCTTCATCCTCTCCCTTCATCCTCTCCCTTCATCCTCTCCCTTCTCCTCTCTATCCCTCCCGTTCCCACTCTCCCCCGCTTTCTCTCACCAGTTCCCTCGCAGCAAGATCGCCAACAGTGCCCTGCCATCTCTTCTGCTCTGACTCCTGCTTCTCCTCACCTACCTCTCTCACTGTCACTCCGTGTATCTCTCTGTCCCTTACCAGGACTCATGCAGCAAGGGCGCCAACGGTGCCCCGCCATCTCTTCTGCTCCGACTTCTGCTTCTCCACCTACCTCTCTGTTTAACCTCTCCCGATTTTCACGATTCCTTGCCGTGTGAATCTGCCTCTCACCAGGACGCATGCAGCAAGGGCGCCAACGGTTCCCCGCCATCTCTTCTGCTGCGATTCCTGCTTCTCCACCTACCTCTCTCGCACCTCCCTTTCGTTCCTTCGCCAGGTAAGAACCCCACCTCCTTCCTCGCATGCCTTCTTCCCTCCTTACGTTTCTCCTCTTGACATCCCTCCTCTCATCCCTCCTCTCATCCCTCCTCTCATCCCTCCTCTCATCCCTCCACACATCCCTCCTCACATCCCTCCTCACATCCCTCCTCACATCCCTCCTCACATCCCACCTCAGAAGGTGTTTCATTCGGGCATGGCATGTGCGGTTGCACTGCAGTTGCCCCTGCCTTTCGTCCCACACCTCAGGAGTTGCTTCGTGCTTTGTGGTTTGTCTTCCTCCCCTCCTGTCAATTCCCTGCATTACCAACGCACAACATCAGGAGCTGTTTGCACTGGAGCGAGGCATGTGTGTGACATGCAATCTGGACTGCCACGCTCTGGTTTCAGCCATCAGGGTGCTACCCCCTGCTGACCGCTCTGATCTCTCCCATCCGTCCTCCCCCCCCTCCCTCTCCCCGTTCTCATCACCTCAGGAGCTATTTGCACTCGAGCGAGGCGTGTGTGTGACATGCAACCTCGACTGCCATGCTCTTGTCTCGGCCATCAGGGTGCTACCCCCTACTGACCGCCGCCGAGTGATCCTGCACTGGGCACCCCACTTCGCCAAGTACCCCAAGCTGTGAGTGCAATGGTGCTGTGCGGTGCAGTGCAGTCGTGTACAGTGCTGTGCGGTGGTGTGCTATGCTGTGCAGTGCTGTGCTGCGCTCTCCTCTCGGCCATCAGGGCGCTACCCCCCGCTGACCACCGAAGAGGATCCGAGTGATCCTACACTGGGCGCCGCACTTTGCCAAGTACCCCAAGCTGTGAGTGCGGTCCTCTGCAGTGGTGTGCAATCTTGTTCAGTGCTGTGCACTCTTGTTCAGTGGTGTGCAATCTTGTTCAGTGGTGTGCAATCTTGTTCAGTGCTGTGCACTCTTGTTCAGTGGTGTGCAATCTTGTTCAGTGCTGTGCAATCTTGTTCAGTGCTGTGCTGCAGTCTGGCCCCGGCCATCAGGGTGCTACCCCCTGCTGACAGTCGCCGAGTGATCCTGCACTGGGCGCCCCACTTCGCCATGTACCACTGTGAGTGCGGTACAGTGCAGTGCGGTTCTGTATGGTCCAGGCTGCAACATCTAATAGATATTCCCACAGAGGGCAACGCATGGCATGCAGATCATAAAGTGGCCGTGGCAGAGGGGGGTGGCGAGTGCGGAGTGGAGAATCTGCGCACGCTCTGTGTGGTGTGCCACCTGTCGCACACCGCCCTCCATTTCCCTCCCATTCCTTCACCCAATGCCTCGCTCTCCTCCCTGTGTGGCTGTACCCCATATCCCAGCCATCCTGTTCCCCACGTGCATTGTGGTGTATTTTGAGGCGCCTCAAAATTCTTCTCCCTGTGTGGCTGTACCCCATACCCCAGCCATCCTGTCCCCCACTCCCTCCCATCCCTCTCCTTATCCCCAGGCTCCAGCAACTAGTAGACCTTCCCACGGAGGGAAACGCATGGCATGCGGATCATAAAGCTGCAGTGGTGGAGGGAGGCGGCGAGTGAGGGGTGGAGAATCTCTGACCCCATTCCCCTCCCCCATCCTTCACCCCACCCCCTCAGGCTGCAGCGACTGGTAGACCTTCCCACGGAAGGCAACGCATGGCACGCTGACCATAAAGTGGCCGTGGCAGAGGGGGGCGGCGAGTGCGGAGTGGAGAATCTTCCTCTCCTTCCCATCACCATCCCATTCCCCTCCCATCCCCATTCTCCTCCCCGCCCACCAGGCTGCAGTGGCTGGTGGATGTCCCCACAGAGGGCAACGCGTGGCATGCGGATCATAAAGTGGCCGTGGTAGAGGGGGGAGGGGAGTGCGGAGTGGAGAATCTGCGCACTCTCTGTGTGGCGTGCCACCTGTCGCACACTAACTCCCCTCTCCTCCCATTCTTTTTCCCAATGCCTCTCTCTCCTCCCTGTGTTTGCACCTCATATCCCTGCCATCCTGCTCCCCACTTCCTCCCCCTGCCCACTCCCCAGGCTGCAACGTCTAATAGACATACCCACAGAGGGCAACGCGTGGCATGCGGATCATAAAGTGGCCGTGGTAGAGGGGGGAGGGGAGTGCGGAGTGGAGAATCTGCGCACTCTCTGTGTGGCGTGCCACCTGTCGCACACTAACTCCCCTCCCCTCCCATTCTTTTTCCCAATGCCTCTCTCTCCTCCCTGTGTTTACACCTCATATCCCTGCCATCCTGCTCCCCACTTCCTCCCCCTGCCCACTCCCCAGGCTGCAACGTCTAATAGGCCTTCCCACAGAGGGCAACGTGTGGCATGCGGATCATAAAGTAGCGGTGGCGGAGGGGGGAGGGGAGTGCGGAGTGGAGAATCTGCGCACGCTCTGTGTGGCGTGCCACCTGTCGCACACTAACTTCCAAAAACGCCAGTGGGCTGAGGAGAGGAGGAGAGCGAGGGCTGCGTTGGTGGCTTTGGAGGCTAAGAAGAGAGGAGAGGGGGGGGGGAAGGAAGGGGGAGAGGGAGGGGAAGGGTGTGAGAAGAAGGGAGGTGGGAAGAGAAGGGGTGATAAGATGGCTGGTGGTGGTCTGGGTGTGGGCAAGGGGGGTGTGAAAGGAAGGAAGAGAATGAGAGAGGCGGAGGAGGGTGAGGGGGATGGGGAGGGAGGGAAGCAGGTGCAAGCGACAGGAAGGAGGTGCAAGGAAGGAAGGAGCACAGAAGGAGAGCGAGCGACAGGGATGTCTGATGGCGATGGAATCAAGAGGGAAAGGTGGGAGAGGGCAGAAGAGGGGCAGATGGAGGTAGAGGAAAGGAGAGACGAGGCAGACGAAGGGAGCGAGGAGGCGAGGGAGGCAGGGAGGGAGGAAGCAGCAGACTGTCACAAACCTAGAAAAGGGTTGACTCTTTTTGACTGCTTTAAGAGAGTGGAAGTGGGTGGTGGCTCGAGAAAGGGTGACAGGCTGAGAGGAGGTGGAGAGTCACGAACATCAAGAGAGGCAAGAGATTCACGAGGGCGAGAGGAAACAAGATTTGGTGAGGGATTGGGAGGGCGAGACGAATCAAGGCTGGAGGGGAAGTCGAGCACGCTTGGAGGGAGCAGTGGCGTAGCAAGGAATAGCAGTGCAGTGGCAGGAGGAGGGAGCAGCAGTGCAGCCAGAGGCAGCAGAGATGCAGAGGGAGGGAAGGTTGCAGTGGCAGCACCAAATGCTGCTGTGGTAGGCATGCGTCCACCTGTGGACGCGCCAACAGGCGTGTCTCCTCATTCAGGCTCACTGACAGGCACGCTTCCACCTGTGGACGGCCTGATAAGCGTGGGCGTGGTGAAGGAGGATGGGGAGATGGACGCCTTGCGGCGGCTCTTTCGACCGGTTGTGAGAGCTGTGTGCTCGCCTCGCCCCGCGATTCCAGAGGCGTCGCCTCGCCCCGCGATTCCAGAGGCGTCGCATGCAACGGCCCCAAACCAGGAGCGTTCACCTCGCTCCACACACTGCCCAGTCTTGCCACACAATGTCACAAGGGATGGGATGGCAGGTGTGAGAGTAGGCGGCGACTGCGCATCCACAAATCCGGGAGAAGGTGGGGGGGGGAGTGGAGGAGTGGTAGGTGGTGGAAATGGTGATGGGGGCAAGCGAGGAGTTATCACGGAGGGTGGGGGTGGCAGGGACGGCAGGGGGGAGAGGAGGCATGAGGAGCAGGTGGGCGTGTGGGAGGTAGTGGGGATAGATGAGGAAGGTGGGGTAGGAGAGCCTTACGTAGATGTGGTTGATCTGACAGGGCAGGAGGATGATGAGGAGGGAGAGGACGTTGAAGAGGGGGAGGATGGTGGAGACGAAGGAAGTTTGAAAAGCAAGGGAGGTTTGGAAGGCAAGGGAGGTCTGAGAAGCAGGAAAGGTTCGGGAAGCAAGGGAGGTTTGGGAAGCAAGGGAGGTTTGGGAAGCAAGGGAGGTTTGGGAAGCAAGGGAGGTCTGGGAAGCAGGAAAGGTTTGGGAAGCAAGGGAGGTTGGGGAAGCAAGGAAGATTTGGAAAGCTTTGGACTGGGTGAGGAGTGGAGGGCAGAGGGCAAGGAGGTGAGGCTTGGGGAGGACGTGGATGATGATGTTGCTGACGTGGCAGATGGGGAGCACGTGGCAGGTGATAAGGAGGAGGGGGATACAGGTTCACAGAATGAGGCTGGAGGAGGAGGTGGTGCTGGTGCACGCAAGGAGATGGGAGGAGGAGCAGGAGAAGCTGAGAGTCGGGCTTTAGACTTGGACTACAGGGTGGGAGGGGGTACACGAGGGGTGTGTGGGGAGCGTGTGGGGGTAAGGCAAGAAGCAGGAAAAGGCGGGGTTTGCTTTGACGCGTATGCACACAAGTCAGGTGATAGGGTGTACCTCAAGGGAGGTGATAGGCAGGGGAGAGTGAAAAATGGGAAGGTCAAAGCGAAAGTGAAGGTGCAATTACACAAGGAGTTTTTGACGGGTGTGAGGGAACCTGATAGGGCTTCTTTGCCTGATAAGATTGCGATCGATGTGGGTGGAATTGATTTACAAAGGAAAAGGAGGCGGGGCGGTGATTGTGTGAGAGAAGGGGAGCTAGATGGCGAGAAAGCATCGCTATGTCAGCTGATTTCTGACAAGAAGACTGTTGTTTCTGGAACCTCTGAGAGGCAGAATTTCACGAGAAAGGCTGGTTCGCGGGCGAGAAAGGCGAATGGTGATTGTGAAGGGAAACCCTTCAATGCACTTCAAGGTGGGATCAGTGCTTGCGGGTCAAATGAGTTGGCGTCTGATTTTGCTGTTGAGAGGTTGGGTCTGCATAGAGTTACTGCCCCTGAGGCAGCACAAGTTGATAGGGCTAACCCTGTTATTTCTGGGCAGGTTAGAGAAGAACCAAGTTTTGACGGGCTTATGAAGATGTGGAACCATATTGCCAAAATATCAAGAGGATCATATGTTTAAGATGAAGCTCTGTCTAACTTTGTCATTTACGGTGAACTGAAACTCGGTCAAGACGTTTTGAGAGTTTCGAGGCTCTAATATCGATGCAAGAAATTGTGTGGCCGTGTGGTGGCAAGTGGTGCGGGTCGTGGCGACCAGAGGTCAGTTGTTGAGTTTGGCGATATTGACGAGTTACATTTGCGAAACGATATGGTCCACAGGGCACGCCGCTGGAACTCACTGCTGGTGCACGCGAAAAAGATCCACAGGTAGCAGCACGTCTGCGCGAACACGGTAGCGAAAGTAACAACGCTCGCCAATGGACTGAAAGGGTGCCGTCGTTTGGCACGGTGTTCCCAGAATCAGTGTGGGATTGGCGGTCTCAAGGGAATAAATAAACGGAAGCCATGGTTTTGAGAATGAATAAACGACAGCCATAGCGATCAGAGCAGGAGGCATTTAGTGTGGAGTAGTATAGTTGGTCTTTACCAGTTGTTGACTTTGTTGAAATAGAGCAACATTTTTATCGACAGAATTGGTAAAGCTTCGTTTCTTGACGGCAAGATAGACGACAGAGGCGTGGTGTGGGTGCGGTTTGAGTTACCATTAGAATGACCTGACAATTTGTTGTCAACTAGTTAGGGGTGAAGCGGTTTCTGCAGTATAAACACAGCGGAGCGCAGGGCGCAAGTAACGGCAACGGCGAAAAGCACTGCTGGCGGAGGAAAGCACGACCGGCGGAGGCGGAAGCGGAGGCGGAGGGGGGAGCTTCCGCATCCTCCCGTCGTCTCTGCTCTCCTTCGCCGCGCCCCCTGCTGATTCCCGGGTTTCCCGGGACTCCCGGGCTAGTGGCAGAAGCAGCGGAAGAGTCCCGTCGTGCATCAGTCTCAGCAGTGGGAGCGGCAGCAGCAGCAGACATCTAAGCGGGCGGTTCGGCAGTCAACGCAGTCAACGCGGTCAACGCGAAGCCATGGACGGATTTTCGTCATCGGAGGAGGAGATGGAAGAGGAGGAGTTGGATGATCTCGCGAATGAGCTTACAAACGGACCGAACGCTAAACGGGACAGCGCGGCTGCTTATAGCGGGGGTGGTGCTTCTAGCGGTGCGAAGGCTAAGTTCTTTTCGTATTCCACTGCCGTTGCGAGTCGCGTTACGACGCACGTCAGGCGGCTTAGTCAGGTGCGCTTCGGCGGGGGTAAGGATCGGGAGAGCGAACCCGGTGCCACGTCAGCGGCTTCGCCGTCCGCAACCGCGGCCGCTCAATCAAACTCTGGAGCAAACAATCTGTCGCGGATTTTCCGCCGTGTTTTCCGGCGTCCTTTCGGCGCATCCTCCTCCTCCTCTTCCGCGTACGAAATCGAGCTCCCCCCTCTTCCTTCCGACATTCCCCCGCAAATGAACGGCGGATACGCGACGCTGGACGATCCGACGGCTGAGAACGCTCCGATCGCGTATCTGACGGACGACCTGCTTTTGGAGTGCCTGGCTCGGGCGGATCGGCGCGCTTTAGGGCCAATGCAGCACGTGTGCCGCACGTGGCGCGGTATCATTCGCACAGACGCGTTCCGAGAATACAGGGAGGCGTTAGGACAGATGGACAATCACTTAGTGGTGATTAGTAAAGGACAGACCGCGCAGTCGAAGGTTCTAATTCAGACATTTAATCCGAAGTTAAATTCCTGGTCGTGGGTTGTGTTTCCAAACGAAGCCTTAGCTATAGATGATTTCTCCCAGTGCTGTGCTGTATCGAATCGGATTTTCCTGTTCGGAGGCATACTCGCTAAAGGCCGCCCCCCTTTTGTGTATGACGCGTGGACGAATTCCCTCTCCTCTGCTCCGCCACTGCAAATCCCGCGGTTCAAGTTCGTTTGCGGGCAGTGGAAGGGGAAAATTTTCGTCGCGGGCGGGGTTCGGCAGCAGCCATTGGAGGAGGGCGAAGAGAAGGACCTCCGGGCAGCTGAAGTTTTCATTCCGGAGGGGCAAGGGCGAATGATAGAAGAAGAGGGGGGGAACGTGGGGGGAAAGGGAGAGACAGAGGCTGCTGCAGAGGCTGGGGAAGACGTAGGGGAGTGGGAGAGGAGAAGGCGCAGAAAAAGAGGGGTTTATTGGGAATTAGCCCCTGAAATGAACAGGGTGCGTGTGGGAGCGGTAGGGGGGTGTGTGGGGGGGAGATTGCACGTGATTGGTGGAACCAGGAGCAGTCTTCAATTCAGGGCCGGGGCTGAGGCGCTAAGTTTGGAGGTTTTCCACCCCAGGGCCCGAACCTGGGAGGTTCGGGAGCCGATTCCGAAGCTGGGGGTCGTGCTGGACTCGGCGGTCGTTGGTCGCTACATTTTCATTCTCAGGTATGTCTTTCCTATTGGCCTCGTGTGACTGTCCCATACTTGGTTTTTGTTTTCTTTCTAGCTCTTTGATTTGTTTAATCACTTTGATCTTAGTCTACTCTTGTGCTTGCGCATTTCTCTCCACATTCCCATACCCACATCTGACTCTACGCATACTTCACCTCTGCCTGCATTTCCACTCTCACATTTCCCTCTTACACATCGCTTACTCACTCCCATGCGCTTCCCTTGCTCCTCTCGCCACCACCTCCTTGCTCACGCACTGATGAACAAACGACATGCGCGAGCATACTTACAAGCAAAGCTATCTTGTGAACCCGGCCGAACGCGTGTAAATGCGTTATTTTTTTTTGCACAGGTGCATCGAATCCGGACAGATTTCCTTCATTCGTGCATTGCGGCACTCGTGGGAACTAGTGGAAGGACATGCACACCATGCCATACATCCCCCCCCCCGACCCCATAATACTGCAGGTGCATCGAATCCGGACAGATTTCATTCGTGCGGTATGACACCCGCGGCAACGAGTGGAAGGACATGCACAGTATGCCATACGCCCCCCCCGCTGACCCGATGATACTTAGCAAAGTGTCGTTTAGGTGTGTTGCCACGCGAACCAGGGTGATGGTAGTGCAGGTGCGAGGCACGTGTGAAGACATGGGAGTCGCTTCTTTTGCTGCTGGGATGCGTGAGGGGAGGAGGGGAGGGGAGGGAGGGAGAGGTGGGGGAGAGGGGGCGAGGGGTGGGGGAAGAAGAGGCGAAAGAGGGGCAGAGGCGGTAGGAGAGGGAGCAGGAGTGACGGCAGGAGGGACGGCAGAGGGGGAGGCTGGAGGGGCAGTGGAGGAAACAACAAGAGAGGTAGCAGCAGAAGGAGCAGAAGAGGTAACAGGCGATGTGACAGGGGAAGCAACAGGAGGGGCAGCAGAAGGAGCAGGGAGATTGGCAGCAGAAGGAGCAGGTGGAGAGGCAGGAGAAGGATCTATAGGTGGGGCAGCAGAAGAGGCAGGGGGAGAGGAAGCAGGTGAGGAGGCAGGAGAGGTAGCAGAAGGTAACACTGACAATGATGAGCCAGCACCTGAGACTGCACCTGAGACTGCACCTGAGACCGCACCTGAGACTGCACCTGAGACTGCACCTGAGACCGCACCTGAGACTGCACCTGAGACTGCACCTGAGACCGCACCTGAGACTGCACCTGAGACTGCACCTGAGACCGCACCTGAGACTGCACCTGAGCCAACACCTGAGCCCGTACCTGAGCCTGAGCGTACAAGGGAGTTGCCGCATGAAGGTCCGAGGGAAAGGGGAAGAGGAAGAGGAGCAAGAGGAGGAACGGGAGGGAGAGGTGGTGGGAGAGGGGTAGGAGGCAGGGCAGGGAGAGGGAATGTTGGAGGAGGGAGAGGGGGAGTGGGGGGGAGAGGAGGGAGGGGAGGAGGGAGAGGAGGAAGGGGCCGAGGGGTGGCTGGAGTGGCGATTGGTGCGGTCAGCATGGTGGGATATAGGTTCGGCGCCCTGGCCCTCATGTACGAACCTGAGGCCGAGGCTCGGGGAGGTTTGGTTTGGCGGCGGCTGCCGGACATGCCGTATGAGACACCTGGTGCAGTCTGTGCTATGCTTCGGTGTTGATCCTGGTTGTCGCACCTGTTTTGAGTACTGCGCACGTTTGGTGTGTGTTGTTACCGTAGTTAGAAATGGTACCGGTACTGCCCTTCGGGTTAAACATGATTTTCTTATGATGTCTAGCGTATGTATGGCAAATTGTTAGAAGGAAATTTGTTTTTTCTGAATTTTGTAATTGCAGTACATAGTGCAGCTCTCGTAGCTCAGTTGGTTAGAGCGTATGGCTGTTAACCATAAGGTCGGTGGTTCAAGCCCACCTGGGAGCGGAATTTCTTGTTTTGTATCGTGTGTGTATCCTTTTTGGAATGTTTCTTCACTCCCTGTGCCACTTGTGAAGGAATTAAAACAAAGCCGGATAATTGTGTAACCTTTGATAAATATACGTGGATTTTATGGATCAAACCAGGTGCAGTCCTTTTTATTTCCCCCCCAGTTTATGCGGAAAATAGCCAAAAAATGATCAGACTTGGGTCAGAATATGTGTGAGCATGGCCAAAAAATCTGCTGCACGTGCCCTTTCTGCCCTCAAACCAGGAAAGATATTCATTCTGACCCTATCCGGGACAAAATTCCCTGGTTTGCCGCAGCAAAATTATGACAAGCTATTGCTGGCCACAAATCGGAGATGAAAACTTTGATGAGCTCACAGGATTTCCGTTCCCCTTCTTTTTGCGGCCTGAAATTTTCCCTCACCCCAGCAAGCGGGAAAGCTTTTGCCGCTTACTTTCTTCGTCCCCCTCACTTCGTCAGAAGCTGCCCGAACTTGGCAGGCCACAAATCGCATTTGCGAAAGAAGGGGTTTGGGAGAGAGCGAAGTTGACGCGGTATGACTGGCGGAAATCTGCGGCTCGGCTCACCATCCGCGACTCGTCTGTCATGTGGGGCTGAGAAGACAAAAGCGACTCGACGGAGCTGAGAATGTGAGTGTGAGAGGTGTGTGCTCTCGAACACATTCGAGGGGCGAATTCGAAGTGAATTCAACACATCCCACCATCCTCTATGCACCCCATACCCTTCTGCCTCTACTAACAACCAAACCTCCTTCGTCACCACTAATCCTCGTACCCATCCACAGCTTGGAGACTGAATGCCCTTAGGAAAACCCCAAAGCGCGTCGTCACATCTGTGTGATACTGCCATGCATGACCATTTACTCTCGCACGCTTCCTCGGAATTCTCCCGAAAGTGGTCGTGCTTTGAATTCCACGACCACCTCATAATCTCGAATTCAGGGGACATCGTCAGTACGCCCAGGGCATTTGCAGCGACTGCGGGCCTAGGGAACTCCGGCACGCATAGTTGCGTGCACTCGCGTCGAGCTAAATGCGACGCGAGTAAGCTTCCCATGACTGTGAATACAGTCTCTACCCCAGGATTCGTCGGCGCGATCCGGCGGCGAGACACATTTGAAAGCACGATAGAGCTCTCGTAGACACACACATTGTGAGCACTCGTCGCAGAGTGGCCCACGCGATAACTGCATGAGCTGTCGCATACTGTCGCATACGGAGTCTCACTCGGAGCGCGCCTCTATGCGACGACCACATCATGCCGTTTATCGTCGCAAATCCACCCACCGCCCTACATAAACGTCGCAAACCATCTTCGACATACATCAATCGATTCTCCCTGCCTGTGGATTGACGACGCTCGAAAACTGGCAAGCTTTCCCAAGGGGCTAATTCCGAGACATCATCATCAGGTCTCTTCTGCTAGTAAGCTAGACGAAACTAGTCCTAGGTTGGGTAACTTCTGACATTACACCTCACCGAGAGGCCATTACTACTGAGTAGTAGCAAAATTAGTATCAGTTTGCTGCGCTTCTGACCGCACCAGCCCCTCAAGTAGCGTCCTCTGAAGCCTCGCGTCGCTGCAAAGCTACGGCATTTCCCAAGAATATCCATCAGGCTGCTTTCCAGTCGGTAGTCTGAACTCACGTTTCCACTGCTGTTTCTTTGTAACAAGCGTTGTCACGTTTGTTACGGCCCCGCGCGACGTGACACAAGCGAATCAGGATGAACGGCTGGTTCACGCCGAACCTTGGCTCTTCGCCGTCGTCCCCGGGACTAGCGAGACTCTCGTCTTCCACCAGCGATGGCGAATTGTAAGCTGAGCTGGAGTTTATATTATCCACCGCATAGCGAATTTCAACCCCAGACTTGCAATTGAACAAGTTTTCTCTTACAATTTATGGCAAATCAAGCGTGTACGTTACCGTTGCGTCTGTCTCTCCCTCTTCCGTGCTCTGCGTCTGGGTTCCCACCATCTCCGTCTACGTCAGCTATTTGGCGGATCTAATCGCTGAGCGAAAGAAACTTACTCCGTTCAAGCTCGTTCTACCGCACTGCTCCCGACTCTTGGAGGAAGGTACGCAGGGGCAGAATGCGATTCAGCATTGCTGAAATAGTTTGGATTCCTGATTGGAGGAAGGTACGCTTGAGTTATATTTTGTTTCGTCTCAAGTGATTCATTGATTAATATTGTGTTTCTTGAGACGTCTCAAAGTACGCTTGAGTTATATTTTGTTTCGTCTCAAGTGATTAATTGTTTTAAGTTGTGTTGTTTATTGCAGAGATTGCGCGGCTCACATCGCTCAACTGTTCTTCATCTGCAACGGACAACGACAGCATATCAAACCCTGAGCAGCTGTTACCCGACCAACTGACTTCGCCAAAGTCGCAAAACGGGCTTTCGCCTGGTCCCTCGCCTTTCGATGGGGGCACGTGGTCGCCACTCCCTAACGAGATCGAGGTACGCGGAAAAGAGTATCCGCGTTAGTACCAGCAGAATCTAAACCACACCCATCAATTCGAACGCTATCTTGCAATAAACGCCAGTGAATAAGTATCCGCGAAAGCCGCCCTTTCCTTTGTCAAAACCAACACCCTCGATCGGTCTCCCGTTTCCCGTTTCCCGTTTCTCGCACCCCTCACAGCCCTCGTTTTCCCCGCTGGTGATGCTCCCGCCGCCTCCGCCAATCCCTCAGTCTCTTCCGCCGCTCCCCAGCTGGGCCTCTCCACCAGCACCGGGGGGAGGCGCAGGGGGAATGGGGGCGGGAGGAGCAGGTAGAACAGGGAACGGAATGGGAGGCGGAATGGGGGGCGGAATGGGGGCCGGGATGGGAGGAGGAATGGGAGGCGGAATGGGGGGCGGAATGGGAGGGGGAGTTGCGCCGATAGTGAAGAAGATGCAGCGCGTGAACGTGCCGGTCGAACGCTTCCCCGCGTACAACTTCGTGGGGCGCCTGTTGGGGCCGCGCGGAAACTCCCTTAAGCGCGTGGAGGCGCAAACGGGCTGCCGCGTGCTGATCCGCGGACGCGGATCGATCAAGGATCCGTGCAGGGTACGTATACTGGGTTAAAGGAAGAATATTTGAGACGGGTCAGAAGCAATGCAGGGTGCATATGCGGAGAGAGAGGCGAGTTGACTGAAAGTTTTGCCCGAGGGCGAGGATTGGTGAAGTGGCAGCGCAGGGTACGTGTTGAGAGAGGGGACGGGGGGGAGCTAAGTAAAGGCCGCGTTACGGGGAGAAGAGGGGGGGGGGGGGGGGGGGGGGGGTTTGGGGGAGAGGGGGCGCGGGGGTTGAGATCGGTGGAGAACTTGAGGGAGGGAAAAGGAGAGACACTTTCTAGAGCAACGGAGGGGGCGTGGGTTCTATAAGACCGTGCTGACACATTCAACTTGACAGAGAATGTGACGGAGGAGTCGACAACTCCTAACCTGGCTCTAATACACTTTGTGATAATGGTTCTGCGCTAGGCTCAAAACCTTCCGCTACCTGATACCTGGCGTTGCGCCCAGACGTTTTTAACTCTCCGCGTTTATTCAATCTCCTATCTCGCGACGCCCTCCTACACCACTTTTGAGGCGCCTCAAAAGTCGTTCTCCGTGTTTATTCAATTTCCTGTTTCGCAACGCCCTCCCGCACCACACAACAGGAAGAGCGCCTACGTGGCAAGCCTGGCTACGAGCACCTCTTCGACCCTCTCCACGTGGTCGTCGTTGCGGAATTACCGGCGGATATCGTGGACATGCAACTGGGGGAGGCGTGCGAAATAGTCCACGAGCTACTGAAACCCGTGGTACGTATTAAATGGAAGCAAATCCGAGGAGCCAATTTACTTATCATCCGAGGTTCCGCCGAAAATCAAGCTGTCAGGTGAATGCGAGGATGGATCTAGTTTCCTAGGTGGGGATTTTGCGAGCTGGATCTGCTTTCTTTCGCGCCTAATGTGGCGAAGTGCGAATTGTGGTACTTTCGCAGCCTGCGGGCTAGGCAAATCTGAACCTTCAATACGACGGAAGTTACAAATGTGGTTTTGTTGTCAAACTTTTCGTCCCCCACCTCAGGACGACTCTTACGACTTGCTGAAGCGGGCACAGCTTCGCGAGCTGGCAGTGCTGAATGGGATGCCCGAACACGGCCCTGGTGGGTGGCGAGCAGGACCTGGTTACCCGCCTCGCTCATCCCCGTTTTCAGATACAGCTTCCTCTGGACTTAAAGGAGTCTGCCATTAGTGCGGTGGCGCTACATTTAGGGAAGATTACGCGTAAGTCATGGATGCCATGACCTTGCTTTTAGTGTATCTATTCAGCTTCGTCAGATAGGACTTATAATTGATGAGATAGAATTTGTGCTAATAACTGTGTTTTTATTGCAACATTGGTCAATATATATTTCCTCTAGAAGGAATAATGGTTGGTTCACAAGTTTCAGCCTAACCTTGCTTAGTCTGAAATCCCCCACGGAGCACTTGAAGGGTTTCAATCTGCAGGACGACAAACCCATCCAAACATCAGAAAACGTCATCCTCATTACAACTAATAGATACACCCCCCCACAAAACTTCACCCTTCTCACCTTAGATCGGAAGAAGCTGTTCTGCTCCTGAAGCTGCTTACAAGCAGATCGCAACTCGTCATAGTTCTTCCGCGCCAATCTACACTCCGTTTCCAGCTTCTGAAAACTTTCTCTCAATCCATCCACCAATCTCTCCTCCCCCAACCTGCTGTTCGCCTCCTCCCCTCCCTCCACATCACTTTCGCACTCCTCCCACCAGCTCTCGTCATAGTCACTGCTACAGTCACCATCGTTCTCATCCCCGTCCTCATCCTCGTCATAATCATCCTCATCCTCATCATTCTCCTCTTCCTCCTCCTCTTCATCCTCTTCTTCCTCCTCCTCGTCGTCCTCCTCCCCCTCATCCTCCTCCTCAACCTCACCATCTTCATCTGGCTGAATCGACCTGTCATGCTGAGGCCCCCTGCGGATCCGCATACGTGCGCACCCTTCCCTCTCCACTCTGTTTCCCTGCTGGTCATTTTCGCCTTCATCCCCATCCTCTTCGCTCCTTGCCACCTCATCATTCTCATCATCCACCTCACCCTCCTCTTCTAACTCCTCCTCCCCTCCCTCCTCATCGTCCTCACTATTCTCCTCCTCATCCTCCTCCTCCTCCCATCCCTCTTCATCCTTTTCTCCCTCTCCCTGCCTGCCTCTCCACCCGGCCCTCCACTGCCCGTCCATCCCTCCTTGCCTCCTCCGTTTGGCTTCCGCCCCAATGCCACCTGCCTCTTCCGCCTCTTCCGCCTCTGCCGCTTCCCCCGGTCTCCCCTCCCCCGCGCTCACTTCCGCTCCCCCCAAACCAGCGCCCCCCTCCCCCAGCCGCCGTTTCCGCCATCTTCCTCCGCCATCAGGAGCAACTCGCAGCTCCGAGCGCGCAATACCAGCAAAGCCCGCGCCCACAGTCGCACGCTCCTCAGAAGATTCGCCCATGGTCGCCCGGTCCTCAGCAAGAGTTTCCGCACGCGCGGGCGCCCTCGCGCGTGCCGCCTCCTGCGCGGTTTCCACTTCACTCGCTGCCGCGCTTTCTCCGACCAGGGGGAAAAACAACCGTCTCCTTTTCTGTCTGTCGCCCCAATCTCCCGCCGTCAACCCGTCCGCGCCTCCAAAACGGGCGCTCACTGCACCGACCGCGGTTCCCCCTGCCTCTGCCGCGAGACCGGCGGAACATGGATAGGCATCAGGAAGATGGTTCAGCGGAGGGGAGCGGAGAACAGGCGAGACGGCGGGTTCAGCGGGGCTGGCGAGCGGAAGCAGAACTGGCGGAAGAGGGCGCTTTAGCGAAACTTGCGCCAGAGCGGACGAGATTGAGTTGCGGGTGTTACCACCATTTCGTCGGCAAATTCGTGAAGAGTCCGGGAAGTATGCATTGGCTAGCTCGGGTTGGGGTTGTATGTACACCCGATTTGATGTTTGAGTTGATGCAGAAGTCATCTCGGGTTGTCTACACACTCTGTTGGGGGACCCAAATTGCTCCATGGAGTTCCCAAGGGCCTCGAAGTTGCTTCGGTGTAGCGTCCAAGGGATTCGAAACGGTATTGTTGCGGCGCTGGGTCTACCAGCAGAAAGCTGGGTTTCGTCGCAATGAGAAAATGAAGGACGAGTACGATTGACAGGGAAAAGAACCGGTCGAGCTTATCTGCTGGATTCTTGCTTGAATCTGTGCTGTCGCAGTGCTTGGTTACCAGCAGAAAGCAGCGCTCTGTCGCAATGGAGAGATGAACGGATGAGCTTCGAGACGTCTCAGAAGTCGTTGGGTTCTCACAAATTACTGCGGAGGCTTATTACAGCGTCCAGTAAAATACTCAGAGATTTTTTTTTTTTCTTTGGACAGGACCGATGAGGCCGGAGATTCCAGAATCTGGGGTCGAGAATGGGAGAGGCGCAGAAGAAGGTTGGTGGCCGAAGGTGGTTACCCAAGTAACAATGCGAGTTGCGATGGGCTTTCCAATAATTGAGAGAGAAGGGCCTCTGGGTGCGGACTGATAACGGAAGCCGCGTCTGATTGCGCTGGATGCGGAAGAATTTGGATCACTTGGGGAAGCAGACTCCGCACGGATATTTTTTCCAGTCGCCTCGAAAAGAAAGTTGTGTAATTGCGGGTGAGAATGGAGGCCCTCTCTGTGTGAGTTATATACGAGGCTAAGCCCGGGCCTTCCGCTCGTTCTAAGAGAAAGGGTCCCAACGCACAGAGTCGCGAGGTCGGATGCGCGTACCGGACGATTAAGGAAACACATGCGGTCTGCTCGGCCAGAACGAGGATTTATTGGTTCAGAAGGCCAAGTTGCTGGTTCGCGAAGCGAGTCTGTTGGTTCGGAAAGCCTAGTTGGTTCTACTAATCTCAGGCGTGCCCCCGCCATTGCCTGTAGCTTTCGCGGCGTAAGGGGCCTAGCGTGTGAAGCGGCGATTGCGGTCGAGAACCCAAAGCTCAACGCAAGTTGCTCCAGCGACAATTAGTCGTCTCGCGTTCCAAATCGTCCGCTATATCGTACAGCTTTCGTCATCAATTTTTTAGCTGCTGCGAAGTAGCTATTTTTTTCCACCAGCAACTAGCGTGGTTGGCCTCATGTTATTGGATGCAGAAACTCAATTATTGAGAAGGGATGGCCTGTGGCTAGTTGGAAGTAGGGACATCCGATAGGTGGGGGAATGGGCCAAGTCAGTGCTACACACAAGGGGTGGTGGTGGTGGTCGGTTTGGTGTGGAACTGTGCGAGTCGCAACGCGGCGCGAAATGTCGATACAGTATGCGGCGTCCCGCAACTCACGGCGACGCATTATTGATGTCCTGGGTTGACATAACGCACTGGACAGGTTTGGTCGACCTCGACAACCGTCCAGCGCGGTGTGGGTTTCGCGCCTGATCACTGTCAGTATTCCCGCTGAGTCCGAATTCCGAGCCTGTCCATTGTGCTTAAGAACCAATCACGCTCGCTTTTAACAGAAGTTCGGACCAAACGTGCAGGCACGGTTTCACCAAACCAGATATAACGTCAGAAAAGGCCTGACATGACGTACGTGATACAGTACACTTTATCCCATCCAACCGATTGGTCTTGGCGGTGGTATGGAATGAATAAGGGGTTGTCCAGCTCGTACATTTACTGTTCGTAAATCCCCTCAGTTACCACATTTTTTGTGGTAAGCCTTTATTGAACGTGTCCAGCGGACACAATCAGCTTTTGTTCACAAGACGGCACGCCCCCTGCACGTACCTAGAGTCGTCTGACTCACGTTACTGGAATCAGCAGGGACGCGAACAAGGGGAAGCACCGCATCCTGGCCACTACAGTTCGTGTCCCTTGTATCGCTTGCACAATTTCGTGTGGTTCGCTCTACTCGCCAACGCCCCCTGCGCCTGCACAAAACTTTTCAAGCTATGATTGACGAGGGAAACTGTTTGTAACAAGATGGGATTCCCGATGCCAGCGTGCAAGGGAATACCCGAACGGTTGGAACCTCCCTTTGCCTAGTTGGCTCCGAATAGAGATAGGTGCTAACCTCGGAGCGTATTCCCTTATCCTCGTCAGTGATTAGATGTTACTAGAATCCAGCAGGGCATGGCATCGAGGCGCTATGCCAAGATGCCATGCTAGATAAAGTGGCGACGCGGTTTTTCTCCCAAGTCGCCATCTCTCTTCCTAGCATAAATATCTCTTCCTAGTTCTTGTTGTATCATCTCATCCTTGGACCTACTTTCTATTCTAACTTCTTGAATCTCTTCTCAACTCTCTCGTCGACGAATCTGGAGCTAGACTCTCGTCTAACTTTCTCTTATTCCGCTGCCGTGACAACTCTTCTCTTTATCTCGCTACGGCGCAGGCTCTCTAGTCGTCATGGCTGGTCAGACCAGCCGCGCCATGCGGACTGCGCCGTAGTCCTGTTTCATTGGTATCCGAGCTGGTTACGATCCTATCATTCTATTCTATCTTCTTGCCATCTCGGATCCCACCTTCTACTTCTAGCTTAGCTCTTCCGCTGCCTCTACTCGTTCTCCTTTTTTCTCTTTATCTCACTACGGCGCAGCTCTCTAGTCGGCATGGCCGGCCAGGCCAGCCGCGCCATGCGGACTGCGCCGTAGCCTGTTTCACTGTTACCTCGTTTTCAACGTGGTCAGAGCACTGTTGATTCGTGTCACACAAGGGCGCCTACCATAGTTCTCTCCGACATGGCTAGTCGCCGTCACTCTTGTCAAGGACTTTCAATACTAACAATGTCAGCCTCAACAGTGTCAGTTTCAGGATCTGAATCTATTTTTGGGATCTACGCATCAGAAACTTTATCAAGACACCAACATTGTGCTCACACAGAGAGCATTGGGTCGTCAAGTATTTTCCTGCGTGATCCTGTTCTTCAGTCAATGAAATGCACGTGCTTATCAAGACATTGCTCTGTTCGTCCTTACGAAGTTAAGACGGTTCCAGCACTATTTCCAAGGGAGCAGGAAGAGAACGACACTCATGCAAATCAAGGCTGCAAGATCAAGTGCAGGATAATTACCAACCGAAATGTCTTCAGATTATCGTCGTTTTCTGCCATTCAACATAAATCAAGACGACAGCAGCATCGCAAGTCTCAACGAAAGAAACGGATTGAAGATTTTTCGTCATGGCAAAGCATGTCGGGGGTGCATCGAGATTTTCCTATTTTAAGCTTGTCTACTGAAGGTTTCGAGGTCGGAGATGCTTTTCGTAGTACAACTCTGGTCGACGCTATGACATCAAAAGCCAGATCAAGGGAGCTGCAGATGAAGAGAGTGGAAGGCTACTCTGATTTAATGAGCAAGGAAAACAGGAGATCAAAAGTGGAAGCTTCCGACGCTGTGAATTTCCCTTAGCTACAAGAGGCATTTTTTCATTTCGAAGATACCGACGTAATCATCAGAACGTTTCGGCGCCATGAATCAGGGCGAGCTGCTGGAGGTGCTTTTTTCTCTGAAGGTGTTTTGCTCTCTGCTGCTCCCACCACACCACTCACACAATCGACTCGAATGGGTGCAATGAGAGGAAGCACTCGTTCCCAAGGCCCTGCTAGGCAGCAACTTCAAAGCAGGGCAATTCCTGCTGTAACCCAACTCAACCAATCTCGACGATGCAGGGTCGGAGCCAACCGAGCAAGGCTGAAGTGTCAAATCAGTCACCAAGGCCCCGTTCGGCAGCAACGAACCAGAGCTGTTTTTGTTGCAGACAAACCCCACCAGACAAGGCAGGTTCGGAGGCAATTGTTCAAGGTTGAAGCGACATACTCAGCAGCTGGTTACAAGGGTGTTTATGGAGGTGCTGAAGTGTGCCAACAGGCAAAAAAGTGTCAACATATTTCTACCTGATCTGAAGTGTGGCAACTCTACAAAGAGAGCCCCAAACGGGCAAGACAAAGTGTTTAGGCACTTGACTTTTAAGACTCCATAGGAATCTGGGAGGGTACGGTAGACACTTACGCTACCTATGCCCTCTAGCTCCGGTTACGACCGACGGTGTTTTGCGTTGTACGTTGTATAATGCTATTTCACCTTAAAAAAAAAAAAAAAAACTGTTGATTCGTGTGGCGGGGAATGTGTCCGCGCTTCTGAAATTACAGGAGGTTGGACTCCACTCACAATGCATTCGTTTCTAGGTACGGTGGTCATTTTACAACCTCGATACGTGCGTTGGCACGAAAAATCCCGAAATGAACGAACTGGACACGCCCTAAAAACGCAGCAAAAAGGCGGCAGCGGAGCTGTATGGCTCAACTTCGACCGAAGCTGTGATGCGTAAAACAAACAAACTGGTTATTGAGTTAGCATTTGGAGAATCACAAGGACTCTCGTAAAAAGAAAATGGAAACAAACTTTTTATAAACCCAACACCACCAGATTCAATCGCACAGCACATATTTGCATCCTCTAGTTACTCGTGTAGATGAACAAAATACCGTGCCTGCTTTATGTACGCAAACTAACAGGGAACACGCGTACTGACAATGTAATAGATGTACAAAACAGTTAGCTAGGCGTCATCTTCGTCATCCTTGCCTAGGAAAGCAAGCATAGGGTCATCTGCATGGATTCGCTTCATTCGGTATGCCTCCATGTCCTCCTCCGTCACCTGCAAGTACAAGCAAGCAGGGAAGGGAAAGCAGGATTAGGCAGTAAGTAGGAGAGGGGGATGCAGGGTGGGGCATGTGCATGGGGTCATCAGCATGAATTCGCTTCATTCGGTATGTCCCCATGTCCTCCTCCGTCACCTGTTAGTAGGAGCAAGCAAGGAAGGGAAGGGAAACGGAGAACCAGAGAGGGGTTAGCCAGGAAGAGGAAGGAGGGCCAAGGGGAGTTTAGAACGAGGTTTGTGAGGTTGGGAATAGGCATCAGGATCATCTGGCATGGATTTGCTTCATTCTATACGCCTCCATGTCCCCCTCTGTCACCTGTTAGGAGCAAGCACGGAAGGGAGACGGAATACTAGAACGGAGTTTGGTAGGATGTTGGTAGGAGGAGGGGGAAGGCGGGAAGGGAGGGTGTAAGAGGGGAAGGGGAGTTTGAAACAGGGTTTGTGAAGTACGGTGGGGGACTTGCTTAGGACTGCATCAGAGTTATTTTCAGCCATGGACTTGCTTCGTTTGGAATGCGAAACACGGCATTGTGTGTAACTGGAGAGTTTTCGACTCAACAATCAAGCAATAGCACTCACATCGTCGGAATATGTGACATTGTACTTGCGCTTGCGCTCGTCCTTCTCTCGACGGGGACAACAAGACGAGCATCGAGTTGACAGAAAGCAGAACAAGCAAGCAGAACCACTCACGTCGACAAGGAAAGCAGAACCACTCACGTCGACAAGGAAAGCAGAACCACTCACGTCGACAAGGAAAGCAGAACCACTCACATCGACAAGGAAAGCAGAACCACTCACGTCGACAAGGAAAGCAGAACCACTCACGTCGACAAGGAAAGCAGAACCACTCACATCGTCGGAATATGTCACATTGTACTTGCGCTTGCGCTCGTCCTTCTCCTCCCGAGCAAGTTCATCCTCCTGCCATTGGCAAGGGAACGAAAACGTGGAAAATAACACACAAAGGAGACACACAAAGTCAAACATTGGCAACAGGAAGGAAAATAACACAGAGCCAAACTTCTTAGGACGGAGCAGCAGCCGTGTCAGAAAATAGCACATAGTCCCGACTCCCAACCTAAAATCACAGTTGGATCTTTTCTTAACACCTACACAATAAATGAGTTGTCCCACAACAGGACGAATCCCTCCCCCACACCACCTCACCTCTCTGCCCCCGCCACCCCCCCCCCCCCCCCCCCTTCCTCTACACACACACACATGCACGCCCTCTCTTACCCTCTTAAGGGCCGCCCTCAGCTTCTTCTTATCCAGCTTGCATTCCATATCCACGTCTGTTCCTCACACCACTGGCTTCTTTCCTCATGCCACAGATTCTTCCCTCCCCTCACTGCTCTCCTTCCTCATTGGCTTCTTTTCCTATTTTAACTTAATTCCCCGCAGTCACTCACTCACAAGCAACACAAACGCACACTCACCCTCTTCAGGGCCGCCCTCAGCTTCTTCTTATCCAGCTTCAGATCCATATCAGCGTCTGTGCCCCATGCAACTGGCTTATTCTCCCCCCTAACTGTTTGAAGAAGGGTTTTGAGACGTCTCAAAACCCTTCTTCAAACAGCGTCTGTGCCCCATGCAACTGGCTTATTCTCCCCCCTAACTGCCCTGCCCTTGTCTCACTCACACAAGGCCTTCTGCCATGAACCCCAGAGCAAGCAGCACACGCAACATACCCTCTTAAGAGCCGCCTTGAGCTTCTTCTTATCCAGCTTGAGATCCATATCCGCGTCTGTGCCCCACGCAACTCCTTTCTTCTCCTCTGTGTGCTTGGCCTTGCCCGCTCCCTCCTCCTCCGCCTCCTCTCCCTCACTGCCTTCTGCTTCTGTAGCAACCAACAGAGTGAAGAACGGGAGAATGAATGTGAGCATGAAGGGAAGGGAGTTGAGATCAAGATCAGCGTCTGTGACCCACGAAACTCCTTTCTTCTCCTCTGTGTGCTTCGCCTTCCCCGCTCCCTCCTCATCCGCCCCCTCTCCCTCATTGCCTTCTGCTTCTGTGACAATAGCAACCAACCAAGGGAAGGGAGAACGGGAGAATGAATGTGAGCATGAAGGGAAGGGAGTTGAGATCAAGATCAGCGTCTGTGACCCACGAAACTCCTTTCTTCTCCTCTGTGTGCTTCGCCTTCCCCGCTCCCTCCTCATCCGCCCCCTCTCCCTCATTGCCTTCTGCTTCTGTGACAATAGCAACCAACCAAGGGAAGGGAGAACGGGAGAATGAATATGAGCATGAAGGGAAGGGAGTTGAGATCAAGATCAGCGTCTGTGACCCACGAAACTCCTTTCTTCCACGCGGAGGGTGGGGGCGGGGGGAGCGGATGGCATGAGGGGGCAGGGGGTGTGACTATGAAGGGGGGACCCGGGCAAGGGGTGTGTACCGGTCGGGGCACGTGATTGACGTGGTACGATCATACCTCGGCTACTACGCCGGATCCCATCAGAACTCCGAAGCTAAGCGCCGGTGGGCGAGAGCAGTACTGGGCTGGGTGACCTCCCGGGAAGTCCTCGTGTTGTACCCATTTATGCCCCTTGCTCGGCACGTGCCGGGGGAGGGGCAAGCGGGAAAAAGAAAGGACGATTTTAGCGCGTCCGATTTTTTTATTTTCGTTTTTTTGCCCAAACAACGACTCAGCGGGGTGGGGGCCCCCCGGGGAGGCTTGCCCGTGCGCACCACCGTTGGGCGGTTGGAAGCCGCACACGGTCGCGGGGGTGGAGAGCGGAAACGGGCAGCCGGGGGAGGGTGGGGGCGGTTGGATGGGACTGGGGTGTACGGGGGGCAGGGGAGTTGAGGGGGCAAGGGGAGGGGCAGCAACGGGCAGGGGCTGGGCCAGCTGAGGGCACGGAAAAGGGGCGGGCAACGGAGAAAGGGAGAATGGGAAGGAAGAAAGGACAGAAGTGTTAAGGAACACGCTGAGGTTTCTCCCTGTTGGCTTGCATCAGATTGGCCAACGCCTCCGCAGAAAGAGAGAAAGGGAGAATGGGAATTAACAAAGGAAGAAAGAACACAAGTGTTAAGGGAACACGCTGAGGTTTCTCCCTGTTGGCTTGCATCAGATTGGATGGAGCCTCAGCAGTAGCTTATGCGAGTGGTCTGGTGGAAGCACACATAGCCCCACACGGGCAGGGCAACCCGGACTGGCCAACCCAGCAACCCAGCAACCCAGCAAACCAAGCAGCAACCGCGCTACCACTGGCTTCACTGCAGCAGCATACTACACCTTCAGCAACTCCCCTCAGCTACTCATCACCCACCTTTAGCTGCCTTCAGCTGCTCGCGCCTTTCCATATTCGCCTGCATCAGATTCGCCGATGCCTCAGCAGCAGCGATGCCGCTGGCACCCGTGCAGTAGCAATGCACACACCCCAGTACCGCCCTCACTGCCCACCACCCACCTTTAGCTGCCTTCAGCTGCTCCCTCCTCTCCATGTTCGCCTGCATCAGATTGGCTGAAGCCTCCGCAGCAGCGATGCCGCTGGCACCCGTGCAGTAGCTCATGCGAGTGGTCTGGTGGCAGCACGCGTACCCCCACACGCCCCCGCCCCACCGGCTCCCACCAGCTGCCCCCTAACACACGCACCTTTAGCTGCCTTCAGCTGTTCCCTCCTCTCCATGTTCGCCTGCATCAGATTGGCTGAAGCCTCGGCAGCAGCGATGCCGCTGGCCCCCGTGCAGTAGCTCATGCGAGTGGTCTGGTGGCAGCACGCGTACCCCCACACGCCCCCGCCCCACCAGCTGCCCCACACGGCTGTGTGGTTGTTGACTAATACGTCTTCTTCATACCGACTGCATGGCACTGCCTTGTCCTGGCAAGATGGGGAGGGATTGCAGCAAAGGGAGAAAGGGAGAAAGACTGTTAATAGCAGCAGCAGCACGCGTACCCTCCTCCCCCCCCCCCCCCCCCCCCCCACCAGCTGCCCCACACCCCCGTGTGATTGTTCACCAGAACACCCTCCTTGTACCGACTGCTGTAGTGTCACTTAACACACCTCTCAACGGCTGTCCCGCACGGTCGTACTCCACTTGCACCTCCGTCTGCCCCAGCAGCAGCCGCCGCAGCTCTAACGGAATCCCTTCATATCTCCAGAAAAAAGTAAGAACAGCAACTGTGGCACCACAGAACATACCGTACCCACCGTTATAAGCCAGAACATACCGTACCCACCGTTATAAGCCAGAACATACCGTACCCACCGTTATAAGCCAGAACATACGGCTACTTACCACAGTACACACCATACCCGTTATAAGCAAAAGCATGGGAGGTAATGCACCACAGTACACACCATACCCGTTATAAGCAAAAGCATGGGAGGTAATGCACCACAGTACACACCATACCCGTTATAAGCAAAAGCATGGGAGGTAATGCACCACAGTACACACCATACCCGTTATAAGCAAAAGCATTGTGCCACTTACCACTCCTCTGAGTGGTCGTCCCGCCCGGTCATACTCCACTTGCACCTCCGTCTGCCCCAGCAGCAGCTCCTCCGGAATCCCCTCCTCCTCTGCCCCCTTATTACTCGCCGCGTTCCCATACTTAGCCAGAACCGACTCCTTACTCGCCCCCTTCAGCTTCTCCTTTTTGACCTTAAACTCCCGGTGCAGCAGCTCAGCCTGGCTCGGCGCGCCCTGTAAGTGCACGTCCACGTTGACCTTCTCCATGGCTTCCCACGCGTGCACGGTGAGCTGGCGGAACTCCAGGGCCTGCCCGCTGATGCGGTTGTGGTTGTCTCCCAGATAAAATTTATCCTTGGCGTCTCCTTCTGGGTTGGGATCCTCTCGCATGGAGCGGGTCTTCGGATCGTAATAAGCCGAATCCACATCCAGATTGAGAAGGTATTTCGCCGTGTCCTCACGAATACGCAGGTTTCTGGGGAGAAGGGGAGGGAAAGGGGTTGGAAATCAGGTGAAGGGAGTAAATGAACGTCCACGTTGACCTTCTCCATGGCCTCCCACGCGTGCACGGTGAGCTGGCGGAACTCCAGCGCCTGTCCGCTGATGCGGTTGTGGTTGTCTCCCAAATAGAACTTGTCTTTAGCATCTCCTTCCGGGTTGGGGTCCTCTCGCATGGAGCGGGTCTTGGGGTCATAGTAAGCCGAGTCAACGTCCAGATTCAACAGGTACTTGGCTGTGTCCTCACGAATACGCAGGTTTCTGGGGGGGAGAAGGGGGGAAGAAAGGGAGACAGGGCGAGATGAAGAAGGGGGCGTGCACGGTGAGCTGGCGGAACTCCAGGGCCTGCCCGCTGATGCGGTTGTGGTTGTCTCCCAGGTAGAACTTGTCTTTTGCGTCTCCTTCCGGGTTGGGGTTCTCTCGCATAGAGCGGGTCTTCGGGTCGTAGTAGGCTGAGTCTACATCCAGATTCAGGAGGCATTTGGCTGTTTCTTCACGAATACGCAGGTTTCTGTGAGGGAGGGGAGGGACGGGACGGGTGGGAGGGGCAGGGTGGACACCGCACTGATCCTCACACGCACCATTCTGTAACGGAGCTTATCTTTCTGCACCTTTCTACACACCATCGAAAAATGGACTTACCGCACTGAACCTGTGCTGCCACCACCGGTCGTCCTCACACGCTTCTCCACCTTCCCGAAGTCCATCTGCCTGCTCTCATCAACCTTCGCATCATCCTCCTCCTCCTCCTCCTCTTCCTCCTCTCCCCCCTCCCTTCCCTCTCCCTCCTTCCCTCCTCCCTCCTTCCCCCCTCCCTCCCCATCACCCCCCTTCCCAGCAAGCTTCTTCAGCTGCTGCTCCTTCTGAAACTTCTTCCTCGCTTCGGCCCGGATGTCATACGAATCCATGGTTCGCTTGTACGTGGCAGCATCAAACCCGTTCCAGCGGTCGCGTTTGCCCTCGTAGTTGAGTTCGATCGACTGGATCTTCTCGTCCGCTGCGATGCTCTGGCTCGTCCACTTGGCACCCACCTTCCTCGGCCGCTCCACACATAGCTTGGCGGTATGGGTCATGGCGCCACAGCTGGTGGTTGGAAGAGGGGTGAGGGGACAGGGGGACGGTGTGGGCAAGGGAGGACGAGATAACCTCTCAGCACGTGCTCTGGCTCGTCCACTTAGCGCCCACCTTCCTCGGTCGCTCCACGCACAGCTTGGCGGTATGGGTCATGGCGCCACAGCTGGTGGTGGGGCCAGAATGGGGGAAAAGGCATACTCTCACTAAGTGACTCGCCCCTTCCTCCAGCGTTCAACGCACAGCTTGGCGGTATGGTTCATGGCGCCACAGCTGGTGGGTCGAAAGACAAGGGAGGAGATAAAGCCAAACGCGAGAAGAGAGGGTGGGTGGGAGAGCGGGGATGGGGGGGAAGATGGCACTGCGCGCATAGAGTTGGCAAGAGGAAACGACTCAACTGGCTGGATAGTCACAGGGAAAACCACATGCATTAAGCTGAGGGCACGCACTTAGAAGTTCGTAGCTCCTCGGTCGTACCACAGGTTTGTGTAGTTCCCCTCGCCCTATACTAGACTAGAGCACCACAGAGAGTGACGCACAAGCAGTGGAGGTAAGATAACGTAGTTGATGCCTTTAGACTAGAACTAAACCAACCTATGGTACTTGCGATACTTCTCAGCCTGAAAGCCTGAAAGCCTTTAGCTCCTCGGTCGTACCATAGGTTGGTGTAGTTCCCCTCGCCTCCAGGCTATACTAGATAGACTAGACTAGAGCACCACAGAGTGTTAGGCACAAACAGGGAGGGCGGTGAGGCATGGAACGTACTTGGTGCAGGCGCCCTTGCGGTATTTCTCGGCTTGAAAGCCCTTGGCTCCTCTGTCGTACCACAGGTTGGTGTAGTTCCCCTCGCCCTTCCAGTTCCGTTGATGCTTCAAACTCTGCTCAGACGCACATCAGGGCGGATACAGAATATACAGGTTACCGCACACGTTGTAAATCCAAAAGCGACATGTGCAGAAACAAACATTGGTGGTTACGTTGACGTAGCAAGGCAACCAAGGCATGCTTTGAGAAACGAACCCCACCCACTCACACACCCTCCAACAGCCTTCCTCCCAACAACCCCTATACCTCTTCCCCTTCCCCCTTCCCTCCCTTCTCTCTCCCCCTCTACTCACAGGTCGTTCGGCGTTGAGGTACCATGGCGCGGACGACATGTACTGCGGGATATGCGGATTGATCTCGTTGCCATCCTCGTCCAACTCGGCTGGCGCCAACCCCGCCTTACGCGCCTCTTCGAGCTCTTGCTGCTTCCTGTGATCCTCGCGCGACTTGAACGTGGCTGGATAAGACAAAAAACGGACAAGAGGGGAGGAATGAGATTTTAGAAGGATAAGGAAAGTGAACTCTCGCCTTACGCGCCTCCTCCAGCTCCTGCTGCTTCCTGTGGTCCACGCGTGACTTAAAAACGCCGCTGTTAGAAGGCAAGGGGGGGAAGGGAGAGGAGAAGTACGAACAGACGATGAGATAGGTCAACTAGCAGTCACAACGTCAAGGGCACGAATTAGAGAAAAATCTCTTCAAGGCACGCAAGCTAACATTCTGGGTCCTCGTAAGTCCCGAGGAGGGATACGGGAGAGACGCATGTCATGCCGTGAAGAACGTTAGGAGAAACGCCGAACGGCCGCACGATGCAGCAGAAATTATAATCCAGATGGTTCACGTAGGTGATTTTAATCGAATCATAGACAAATAACAAACAGTTCCATAAAGAAAACCCTCAAACGGTTAAATTGTTGACACGAGGAGACGAAAACTGATCAACGAAAGCACTTGGTACTGAGATTCGACGTTTAAAACGGATGTAATCAAGTTTTAAGACGGCACCTAACTAGCTCAGAATGTGTACAACGCTCCTCGCGTATACAGATCACGTTGCATCCATTCCTAAGACGTCTCCAAGCTCGGTCGGAATGCGTACGAACAAAGGCATCGAACAAAAGCATCTGACGAACAATCTTCGAGTAATACAGACTAGGTTTCATCCGTTCCCGATATGGCTTGAAACACTTCGAGTCTACAAGCTACCCAACATCCATAAATCGTCTGACAGTCATATAGCATCTCGGCGGCGAAAAGGCCTCACCTGAAGCCGTCGCCATGGTTCTGGATTGAAAACGCTCAGCACCGCAAATCGGCAGTCGCTGGCAAGTTACTAAGCAAAAAGCACGGAAGCTCCCAGGCACGCGAGACTACCACAGTTCGCAAATTCGCTTAGGAGAGAGAGGCGTAGCAAGCAAACCCTAACAATAGAGGGTAAACGGATGAGGGATGTGCAACGAAGTTCTATCAACTCTAAGAAGCAAAGAATCAACGGACAGAACCGTGAAGCAGAATGACTAGCAGACTCGAGTTTTGTTTGAAAACATCCAGCGAAGCAAATCTCGAGGTTGGAAAACAATCCCGAGGAGGCAGCGAGTGGCTCTCTGAGGCAGCGTTCCTGCTACAGGTTGCGTGGAGTCGAAGCACACTGGTGTCTGATACGAGGACCTAACGACGTTCGCTTACTTCGTTCGCGATCTCATGCAGGGCTAACGACAAGAAAAGCAACCAGCTGGGCCTCGTGCTGGTTCAGGGCCTGGCAGCGAATTGAAGGTAATGCGCTGGCAGCAGGACAACCAAAATTGCGACATTATACACAGCCCCCTTACCAGCTTTAAGTCCAAGGCAATATAAACTAGTAATGAAGGTTCGTGAAGCTGGAATGGAGGATACAGCTGGTCAATGCATGTTAATCCCTCCCCCTTACCTCCTGCCCGTATCTAACCTCAATACCATTTTCCTTGATGTCTCTCAAATATGCATGATGATACAATTTCTCCGGATTCCTCCAACAATCGGGCTACCGCTATAAAAAATTGATTGGCTTTCCTCATTATTAGTATATTTTTTTAGATTATGCATGGATATATGAACCATAATTTCAACTTCATTACTAGATACAGGGTGTTTTAATCATCACAACATATGTAGGAAATTTTTTATGTATACTTGTTACGGGTGCAATGAATCGAAGTAGCGAGAATTGCACTAAGGTGTCAAACGAGTACAAAATGTGAGCGAATGCGTGAGCGAACATTTATACGCGAAACATGCAAACGGTAACGCGGTGCGTGCGAGCTAGCTAGTGCTATGCTGGAACCGAGGCTCGGGCTAGTCCCGAAGCGTAGGCCGACACGGCCAGGCCAGCAGCGTGAGGTTTGGTGAAACAATGCGCGCGAAGTTGGCGAAGCCCCGTTAGCAGTAACGGGCGAACAACGGCTGATGCTGTACGCGATGTTGCACGGCGCGCTAAGGAATATCCAGAAAATTCCTTACACTACCCCCCCCCCCCCTCAAGAAGCCCCCTCCGCTACGCGAGTGCGTGTGTATCACGGAAACCCCGGCTCCTCAGGTACACTTGCAAGGCAGGGTGGTTTTCGATGTTGGCCAGGGGCACCCAACTATCTTCAGTTGGCGTCCGATCCTTCCAGCGAACGAGGAATTCAATCCTCTTGATCCCCGTGGGGTGTCGAATCCGATGGCTCAGGATTTTTTCGGGCTCGATGATCGGCTCCGATGCAGGGCGAGTCATGGATGGTGGGTGGTGACGAGGCAATTGGCTTGTGGTTGGGATGTATGGGCGAAGTAGGCTGACTTGGAACGAAGGGCTGATGTACCAGTTCGTTGGCAACAGTAGGTGAGCTGTCACTGGGGTAATCATGTGGCTGATTTGGAATGGTCCACAGTAGCGGGGTCGCAATTTCGGTACGATGGGCAGTCTTAAGTTTTGTGTATCGAGCAGTACGTAATCTCCTGACTGGTACGTGACTGGGCGGCGGTGGCGGTCAGCGCTGCGCTTAGCGATGACATTGGCCTTTTTAATTGCTTCTGCGGCTCTGGTGCGGGCAGCTTGCAGAATTTCGGCAAATTGCTGTGGATGTGGTGTTGGGTTGTCCGGCGTCGGCGTCATGGGCACTGTAGGGTTTTGCCCGTAGTTCAGGTGGAAAGGGGACTCCTGCGTCGTCGCTGATGTGGCATTGTTATACGCGAACTCGATCAGCGGCAGCTGCTGCTCCCAAGTGGTCGGGTCGTCGCACGTGGCACGAATCAATTGCTCCATCGTCTGATTTGTCCGCTCCGTTTAACCGTCGGTCTCGGGGTGGTACGACGAGCTGAACTGTAGCCTTGTCCCGAACTGCTTCCAGAGGTTTTTCCAGAAGTTTCTGGTGAACTTCGTGTCGCGGTCGCTGATTATCGCGGCTGGTATCCCGTGCAGTCGAACGACGGCTGCGATGAACAGGCGAGCGGTTTCTTCGGCTGAGATCGATTTCTTGCACGCAGCAAAGTGTGCCATCTTTGTCAACCTCTCAACGACGACCATAACCGCGTCGCTACCCCCAGGGTTCGAAGGTAACCCCGTGACGAAATCCATGGTAACCTGCTGCCAGGCGCGCTCAGGCGGTGGAATCGGCTGCAACTGACCCGCCTTTCTTTTTCGTGAGCTCTTCATCACCTGACACGTAGGACACGAACCCACGTGGTGCTGTACGTCAGTCAACAGCTCCGGCCAGTAGTAATACCGCTGCAGTTGCTGTCACGTTTTTCTACCCCGAAATATCCCGAGGTAATCCCGTCGTGTGCCTCCTGCAGTAACAGTTCCCTCAGTAGTGAGTACGCGGGTACCCAGATGCGGTTTGTGCCTGTTTTTACGTAATAGACTCCTCTGGCCTCTGCCAGTTGCTGTGAGTTTCTGGTCGTGAAAAATGGGTCGGTACTGTATCCGTGGGTGAATAGGCCTATTAACAGTAGGTTGGTTTGGGCGAGTAGGATGGCGTGGAGTTGGGCGGTGGGGCGTGTGAGTGCATCGGCGATGTTGGATGTGCCTTTTTTGTACGTGACCGTGTAAAGAAAGTTGGACTCCAGATAGTCCAACCAATGGATCTGTCGTGGGTTGAGATTCGGTTGGGCGCGAAGGTACTGTAGGGATCGGTGGTCTGTCCGTACTGTCACGTCTGCTCCCGTGAGGTAACATCGCCACACTTTGAACGCGTGCACGATCGCCAACATCTCGCGGTCGTGTATCGGGTAGTTGCGTTCGGGCGGGTGAAGCTTGCTGGACTCGTACCGATTGGCTGAAGGCCGTTCTCGAAGTCCTGCAACAGTACTGCTCCCACAGCGATGTCGCTAGCGTCGGTGACGAGCTCGAACGGACGGTGCGGGTCTGCGATGTGAAGCACGGGCGGTGAGCACAAAATATTTTTGAGGGCCGAGAAGGCAGCTTGTTCTTTCTCCCCCCACGTGTACTCAACCCCCTTCCTCAACAGGTCGGTCAACGGGGCAGTCACCTTCGCCATGTCGGGAACGAACCGGCGCATGTAGTTGACGAACCCCAGAAAACTCTGCAACTCGGTCAAGTTGGTCGGCACGTGCCATGCTTGAATCGTTGCGACCTTTTTTGGGTCTATTTCCACTCCTGCAGCTGAAATAATGTGTCCCAAAAACTCCAGTCGGTCCTGTAAAAACTCACACTTAGACGCTTTTGTCAGTAGGCGGTTCTCACTCAGTATCTTAAAAACTGCTTCGATGTCCTGTAAGTGCTGTGCTCTGTCAGGGCTGTAAATCAGTATGTCGTCCAGATACACGATGACGCACTTATCTAAAAGCGGGCGGAAGGCTTCGTTCATGGTCATTTGAAAAATGGCGGGGGCGTTGGTCAGTCCGAAGGGCATGACGGTGTATTCGAAAGATCCGTAGCGTGTTCGGAAGGCTGTCTTGGGGCAGTCGGGTGGGTTGACGCGAATCTGGTGGTAACCTCCCCGAAGGTCAATTTTCGAGAAAACCCGGGCTGTGCGCAGTTGGTCGATCAGTTCGTCGGCTCGTGGGATGGGGTAACGGGATTTTATAATAACCCTGTTCAGTCCTCTGTAGTCTATGCACATGCGAAAACCCCCGTCATTTTTCGGTGTGAAGTGTATCGGTGCTGCGTGTCAGTAGAGCTACACTCTGAGATCCCCGATCGATCTTAGGGGGGGTTACAGGCGCGTTTGCCTGGGGGGTTATGGGCGCACTGACCCGCTACTGAAACAAGCCCTTTTATCCCAATGGTCTAGTGGTTGGGATTCTGAGATGGTATCAAAGCGGTCTCGGGTTCGATTCCCGGTTTATGCACATGTAGGCCGTTGCCGCTGTGCTTAGTCCTGGGCCTCCCAGTGTGGGGGGGTGTCAGTAGATCTGCACTGTGGATGCCCGATTGATCCTGGAGAGGGTTACAGGCGCGTTCGCCTGGGGGGTTATGGGCGCACTGACCCGCTACTAAAAAAAATCCCTTTTATCCCAATGGTCTAGTGGTTGGGATTCTGACATGGTATCAGAGCGGTCTCGGGTTCGAATCCCGGTGTATGCACATGTTGGCCGTTGCCACTATGCTCAGTCCTGGGCCTCCCAGTGTGGGGGGGTGTCAGTAGAGCTACACTGTGAGATCCCCGATCGATCCTAGGGGGGGTTACAGGCGCGTTTGCCTGGGGGGTTATGTGCGCACTGACCCGCTACTGAAACAAGCCCTTTTATCCCAATGGTCTAGTGGTTGGGATTCTGATATGGTATTAGAGCGAAGGTCTCGGGTTCGAATCCCAGTGTGTGCACTTCGGGCATCCCAGTGCGGGGGGGTGTCAGAGGTCCACTGGTGATCCCCGATTGATCCTAGGGAAGGGTTACAGGCTCGTTGTCCTGGGGGGTTATGGGCGCACTGACCCGCTATTTAACAAGCCCTTTTATCCCAGTGGTTAGTGGCTGGGATTCTGACACTGCGAAAGGTGACGAACTAGGGCAAATGAACTCCTTTTCGAGCAGGTAATCCAGCTGCTTCCTCAGTTCGTCCAGTTCGGGTTGGGTCAGTCGGAACTGTCGCTGTACTGTTGGCTGTGCCCCCGGTTCGAGTTCTATTCTGTGGTCGTGCGGTCGCTGAGGTGGCAATCCCGTCGGTAGGTCGTCCGGGAAGATGTCACTGTACTGCTTCAACAGTGCTGCCAGATCACTCGGTACGTCGGCTAGCAGTTTCTGTAAATCCCCCCCTTTGTCTGCTGCCTCGGCTTCCCGAATGTCAACCGCGTACACGTTAGCTCCTTCCGCTACGGCGCGTTTCATCGTGATCGCGTTGACACGCACCGACGAAGATTTAGGCGAGCCCCAGCGAGGTAAGGCGATGTTGTTACCGTTCACTCGCACAGTGCACTCACCCGTCGTCCAGTCGATTCGCGGATTGTGTCGTCGCAGCCAATCACGCCCGAGTAACATATCGGTTCCGTCGAGGGTCGTTGCGAGCATTTCCCGGCTAAACGTGAAGTTGCCCCCGCATCGAATCCGAACTCGGTCCACGCGTTCCCGTATCGCAAGTGGCGGACCGTCGACCAGTCTTGCGTCGATCTCAGGTAAGCATCTGTCCAGTGGCAGTCGCAGTTTTCGTGCTGTGGCAGTGTTGATAAGGCAGTGGCTGGCCCCTCCGTCTACGAAGATTTTAACTAAGTCCGTCCCGATTTTCCCACTAGGCAGTATAGGGCTGTCTACCGTAGTACCCTCCTTATTCGGCCAGGTGTAGTCGATTGCGCGAACCGGCACAATCACTCGGTGAGGGCCGGTTGGGTCGGGCGAGCGGCGTGACCTGTCAGTAGAGGGCCCGTCTGCTACTGACTCCCAGCGTTTCCCTGCTGCTTGGTCTGTTTCTGCTGCTCAGCTTCCCCCTTTCCCTTAGCATTTTCCGGGCATTCGCTCTTGCGGTGTCCCGGCCGATTGCACGCAAAGCAACGTCCTTTGAACGGTGCGGCAGCGGCATTTGCGGCGACGGCACGTATCGTAGCGCCCTCGTTCGTCCCACGAGGCCGATGTCCCCAATTGCTGCTTCCGTAGGACCCCGGTCTCGGTCGGCGGAAGAAATCGAGTTTCTCCGCCATGGCGAGAATCTCCTGAAAATCGGTGACGCCGCGAAGCTGGATTTCCTGAGCGATGTCCTGCTTCAGGCCGCCGATGTAGCGGTCGATGCGTTCGCTCTCGTGCATATAACCCACTTGCTCGCATAGCGCCAGAAACCCGCTCGTGTAGTCTTGGACGGAACCGAGTTGGCGCCAAGTGCGGAGCCTCTGTCGCGCCGCGATCGATGCCGCAGTTGGCTCGAAACGAGTGCGCAGACCTGCGCACCACGCGTCCCACGTGCGATACTGGGGCACCTCCACGAAATACGACGGCGCCCAGGGTCCGGTTTGTCCTTCCCGTGTCGGTAGAGTCGCGTAGTCCACCGGCTTCGTGACGATGACACGCCACCAGTCCATGGCGGGTCCTCGCAGCAACGACACGGCGTAACGAATCTTCCCCGTATCCTCCGAGACGTAGTTCGCGTCGAAGAAAACATTCAACGTGAAGAGCCACGCCTGAACGGTAGGACCACCCCGCTGACTTGGGTCAAAGCATGGCGGACGCTGCGGCTTCAGCGGCATCGGCGACGGTAGAGCTGATTCGCCGGCCGGCATCGAAACAGTGACTCGAGGCTGATTCCTGGCCGCATTCGTCGCGTCGGGGTGTGTCGTGCCGTGGTCGTCGTCTCCGTCATGGCGGACGACGCCATCACTTGCGGCGCTCGCAGGTTGCCCCACACTTCCGTGTTGCGATGTCTGTGGTGCGGGCTGAATCTTAGTGCCAGGTGTTTGGGATTGTGCTCGTGCGAGGTCGTTTTGCAGGGAGGTACGTTCCGCCGTTAACGCCGCGATTTCTTCGGAGTTTTCGTGCAGTTGTCGCAGCAACTCGTCCAGGCGGTCATGCGTGAGGTTAGTGACGTCAATATGCTCTGCCATTCCGAAGGGCGTCGGCTCGTCTTAGTCTAGGCGCAGTCGTGGCTGCACGCGTTTACGAGAGAACGCGAGGATAGCGGCTCCTAGGTGCTAAGGTGAGTGAGTCCCTTCGAGTGAAAAATCAAAAGTTGATTTCCTGGGGTGCGGAGATGCGCGGTCCGAAACGGAAAGAGGCTCTGAATACTAAGTGTTACGGGTGCAATGAATCGAAGTAGCGAGAATTGCACTAAGGTGTCAAACGAGTACAAAATGTGAGCGAAGGCGTGAGCGAACATTTATACGCGAAACATGCAAACGGTAACGCGGTGCGTGCGAGCTAGCTAGTGCTATGCTGGAAGCGAGGCTCGGGCTAGTCCCGAAGCGTAGGCCGACACGGCCAGGCCAGCAGTGCGAGGTTTGGTGAAACAGTGCGCGCGAAGTCGGCGAAGCCCCGTTAGCAGTAACGGGCGAACAACGGCTGATGCTGTACGCGATGTTGCAGGGCGCGCCAAGGAATATCGAGAAAATTCCTTACAAGAGTGTAATACACCCTCACTAGTGATCGCCTTGTAAAGGGGAAATCCTGAACCTGGCATAGCCTTCCCTTTCCGGCAGCACTTATAATTCTGATCTCTGCCTCATATTCCATTCTATGGTTGTTCATGGTCGGATCGAGAGGGTGAGCAGGCCGAGTAGGATTCTCTTCATCGCCGTAGGTTCCGGACAGTAACGAATTATGCAGCCGTTCAGACCTGCGGCTTCCGCAGCGCGATATAGGGTTTGTCATATTTTTCGGTCGTTAAATTCGCGCTTGTTCATTTCATTGCTCTAGCAGTTGTCCTTATCGCTGTTCGAACAACCCTGTCGTTAAACTCGTCCTCTCCGTGACGCCATTCTGCCATAGCTATTCATTATCCAACCACATACTTGTTTAAAAAAAATGGCATCAGGTGGTCCGTACCGCGATCCGCTGCCGTTCTTCGGCCCATCCACATCCATCCCCGAACTTACCCGACTCTCGCGCCTCTCCAGCCAATCGTCTCCCGCCAGCTGTCACTGGAAGCTGTTCGACCGTCAGACTCGCTCTGAGTTGCTGTACCCGCCGGGAGACGATCGCGGACGGGTAGCCGTCTGGTCGCTTAAGATCTCGCCGTCAGGCAAACGGCTAGCCGTCATATGGGGTTCGACAGTTACTATTCTGTCGCATTATGACGGGTATTCGGCTCCCGTCGGCAGCTTCAGCATTCCGTCAGGTACTATTCCGTCAGGTCTGTCTATTTGTAACCATTCCGTCAGTTCTGTTGAAGTGTTAGTTTTCCGTCTGTTCAGTTCTTGTGCTTATAGGGTTCAGTTCTTGGTAATGATTTCTAGTGCATGACTTCCTGCAATGCGTGATGCGGTCTTTTTGCATTGGCATGAACGTCTGGGATCGCACTATTTCGTGTCAGGTTGTGTTTATGGTGACTACGTCAGTAGTTCCTTGGTGTATATTTGTCGTAGATTCTCGTAGCTTTGTCCACTTGCCAGCATCGCCGTTTTGAATGTTTCATGATAATGTTGTTTTCGTTGCATTTCGTTATGATGCATGATCAGGCAGAGAAAGGGTTACCACAACGATCAGTGTAACCGCGGAGTGGAGCGACGACGAGAGGGTCCTCGCTGTGATTGGTTCCCACGCTCTCTGGTTGCTGGATGCACAGGGGCTGCTGCTCGGCGAATTGGCCGCTGCCACGTGGCAGCCTCGGGGATCCACCGTTGCAGGCTGTGTCCTTCGATCTGCACACGACTCGGAGCCTGACACTGGAGTGAAATCGTTCAGGTAAGCTTGCCAGTGCATTACCAGTGCACTGAAAACTTCAAGGTAAGGGGTCGGGTCCCTTTCTCACATTTACACTTGAGGAGCCTCAGAAGGCTGGGTCCTACGATTGGCACACGATTCAGAGCCTGACTGACAGTGGAATGAAATCTCTTAGGTATGAAGTCCGGTTTCTTACACACGTTCCTTCCCCTAGCCTCCCCCCCTCGTTTTGCCCTCAAACGCCATGAAAATCCATCCCGTCACCCATTGTTTCAATTCTAGGTTGACTCTTTTCATGTCTTTCCTCCCTCCCACCCTCTTCTCTCCCTTCCGTTCCTCCCACCCTTCCACCCACCCAACCACAATGCCTAAAAAATCACTTTGGTCTGGTCCCACCCCCGCCCGCCTCTACTTACCCACAATTCCCCTCCCACTCTGAGTGCCACACGGTCTTGTTCATTCCTCACAACCACAACCCCCTCCCAACCACAGTGCCTATGAAATCATTCTGCTCCTGTCCCACACTCGCCCGCGCCTCTGGCGAGCTACAGGCTCCCACTCTGAGTCACCCTATTTTCCTCTTTCCTCCCAACCACTCCCCCTCCCCCCTCCCCCCTCCCCCCTCCCCCCTCCCCCCATTCCCCCAACCACAGTGCCTATGAAATCATTCTGCTTCTTTCCCACCCTCGCCCGCGCCTCTGGCGAGCTACAGTCTCCCACACTGAGTCACCCTATTTTCCTCTTTCCTCCCAACCACACTCCCTCCCCTCTTTCTCCCAATCACAGTGCCTATGAAATCATTCTGCTCCTGTCCCACCCTCGCCCGCGCCTCTGGCGAGCTACAGTCTCCCTCCCACTGCCTCCCTCTGGCGAGCTCGGGGCGAGTTCAGGAGTTTCAGGTGTTTCTTCAGGTGCTGCGTCAGGAGCCTGGGGTGCGCGATCAATGAGGGTGAAGGCGAGGGGGAGGGCGTATCTGCTGGAGGGCAGGCATCAGGGGAGCGTGGTTCGCTCGGACTTTCATCCAGTGCTGAGCCTGCTTGCAGTGGCCGGCATATGCCCCTCTGGTGAGTAGAACTTGAAACCCGCCCAGGTGAAGGCTAGGGGAAGGGCGTATCTGCTGGAGGGGGAGTGTTGCTCGCGCGGACTTTCATCCAGTGCTGAGTCTCCTTGCTGTGGCCGGCATTTGCCCCTCTGGTGAGTAGATACCTGTCCAGGTAGAGCCTGGATAACCCCCCCCTCTTTGGAACTTTCACCTCGTGTCGTGCTGAGTCTCCTTGCTAGGGCCAGCTGCCAGCATATGTCACTGAGGTAAGACCCTTCTGCCTTTGCTGTTTTGAGACGTCTCAAACCAACTCTTTTATCGCCAGCATATGTGCCCTCAGGTAAGACCCTTCTGCCTTTGCTGTTTTGAGACGTCTCAAACCAACTCTTTTATCGCCAGCATATGTGCCCTCAGGTAAGACCCTTCTGCCTTTGCTGTTTTGAGACGTCTCAAACCAACTCTTTTATCGCCAGCATATGTGCCCTCAGGTAAGACCCTTCTGCCTGTGCTCAGCATACGTCCCTCCTCTTGTCCATCTGGCATATCCCCGACCCGCTCCTCCCGCTTCTCCCGCCCCTCTTCCTCTTCCACCTGCTCTTCCCCCTTCTCATCCCCTTTTTCGATCCTTTTCCTCCCCTGTCCGCTCTGGCCCTCTCTTTCATCACCACGCGCTCTGCTCGCCTGTGCTTCTCTTCTCCCCACCCCCCCTTTTTCTCTCTTGCAGTTGGCAAATCGTTTCCACACGCCCTCCCACGTCCCTCCTCCTATCCATATGGAACATCCCCGACCGACCCGCACCACCCCTTGCTCCCGCCCTCCTTCCTCTGCCTCCTAAGCTTCTCAGATTGTCATTTCCCCCTTCTTGTTCCTTTTCCCCCCCGTTCTTCCTCTGCAGTTGGCAAACCATCCTCCACGCGGCCCCCCACGTCCCTCCTCCTGTCCATATGGCACATCCCGGACCCGCACCACCCCCTCCTCCCGCCCTCCTTCCTCTGCCTCCTCCGCTTCGCCCCTCCTCCCCTCCACCCTCCCCAATCCAAACCCTCTCGCTCCAGAACCCCAGGCTCGGGCTCCTCTCTAGGGTTTTGGGACGAGGGTTTAGAGGGGGATGAGGAGGAGGAAGAGGAGGAAGGGGAGGAGGCGGTAGCAGAGGTGAGATTCTCCCCTGATGGGGGGTCACTAGCGGTGGTACACCACCGGGGGGTTTTGTCTCTTATGCGGATGTCGGCTAAGGATTCTGAGCTCATGCTGCTGCCTAGGAGTGTGGGGAGAACTGTGGGTGTTCCCTCTGGGGCTGCGGTGGAGGAGGAAGGGAGTGTGGTGGAGAGGGGTGTGGAGGAGTGGGGTGTGATGAAGGACGGGACGGAAGAAAAGGACGGAGAGGAGGGGGTGAAGGAGAAGGGAGAGGAAGGGACACAGCAGAGGAAAGCAGTGCGGTTCCGAATGGTGCAAGGCGGTGTGGTGGATTGCGTCACCAGTGTGACTTGGCTCAGCACAGATACAATAGCAGTATCCCATCGCTCAGGGAGAGTAGCCATAGCTACCGTGCACGATTTATCCAATCTCACCGGCCCGTTCCCTCTAGTCTTCGGCCCCCGGGCGGTCCTCTGCTCGTCCAATCTCCTCATGCCACGTGGCAGCAGCAGGTCTGGAGTGTACCCGCGAGGGGTGATTGTTCTAGAGCCGGTCGCGAGACAGGTGTCGGTTCCTGATTGGGCGAGAGGGACTTTTGGAAATGTGACTGATTCTCGTGGGGAGGGAGCGCTGGAGAACGGATGGCGGGTTTTGTCTCTTGTGGAGCAGCCGGCGGCGGTTATGGTGCGGGTGTTAACTGAGGAAGGTAGACTAGGGGATGCGCTGGGGATGGCCCGGGCGGCAGGGTTGCATTCAGATGTGGTGTTTAAGGCTGCTTGGACGAGCATGGGTGTGGGAATTTCCGCAGGAGAAGCAGCAGGCGGAGAAAGAGGAGGAAGAGGAGGAGGAGGAGGAGGAGCAGGAGTAAGTGAGAGTGGGAGGTTGTTGGGCGGAGACAGGGGGCTTGCTGTTAGAGAGGAGGAAGGGAAAGAGGCTGGGAATGACGATGCTGAGGGGAGTGAGGAGGAGAGAGAGGAGGAGGAAGAGGAGGAGGTATCAGCAATCACGGATTACTTGTCTCGAGTGTCTGACCTCCCGTGGGTGGTGAGGGAGTGTGTGAGTGTGGTGTGCCGTACTGCAAAGGGCATGGATTTGCTGTTAAGTCTGGGACTTAGAGCCACAAGCAGTCTCAAGGAGGAAACCCTAAAAGCAGCAGCAGCAGCAGCAGGAATCCCTGATGTGACGCTATCAGGTGTAAAGCTGGCTCTGGTACGATCCAGGTTGCAGCTTTTGTCCTTTCGTGACCGCCTACAGAGCTACCTAGCCCTCAACATGGGGCGGTACGATCCCCAACAGTACGGCGTCTTTCGTCTTCTTCCCCTCCACTCTGCCGCCCAGCGGTTCGCCTCCGCCGGCCGGATCTCAGCCGTCCACATTCTGCTGCAGAGGCATCCCTTCTCACTCTCCCCTCACCTCCTCTCCCTCCTATCCTCTCTTCCAGAAACCCTCCCTCCTCACTCCTATAGAGCAATTCTCCCTGGTGCCTCCCCCTCTCCTGTTTCCCGGACCAGAGGGGCCGATTGGGTGGAAGGGCGAGGGGTGCTGCAGATGATTGGAGCAGGGTCGGCTGTAGCAGCTGCAGATTCAGCTGCTGCTGTAGCTGTTGCTGCTGGTAGTGGCGGCGGTGGTGGTGCTGCCATTGTGGCATTTGCTACAGAACAGGTGGTGTTTCTGTCTCAGGGATTTAAGTTCCCGTCCAAGCCTGCCGTTGAGGCTTGGTACCTTTCCCGAGCCAGGGAGATTGAGGAACGGACGGGCCTGCTGCAACACTCGCTCGCGCTGCTGGATCTAGGTTTGGCAGCAGGCTTGGCAGAGGTTCGGAATGCTATGGAGGACTATGCCGAGCTGAACAGAGTGGTGTATGGGGCATGCGGGGCTGATAATAAAGAGTATGAGGAAGGGAACGAGGAAGACAGAGAGGAGGGGGGTGACGAGGCAGGGGAAGGACGGGATGACAGGAAAGAGCAGGAGGAGGAGCAGGAGGAACAGGGAGAGGGGCAACATCATCATCAGCAGCAGCAGCAGCAACAGTCTGCTCAATCTGCTTCTGTCTTCTCTGCTGTCACCCCAATTGCCCTAAAACGCGCCGAACTCACTCTTTCCATCTGGTTACAGCTCCCCATAATCCAACGGTTCAGATTCGTTCTCGGGCGGCCCCGCCCCGCATCCATCATCTCACGCCTGCACGAGCGCGCTCTGCCAATCCTGTTCCGCCACCTGGCGTCGCCGCAGCAGGTCTGGAGCCTCCTGGAAAAATGGCTAAGGGAGGAAATCGCCCCTGTGAGAGGCAGAATGGCAGTTTTCTCCTCTGTTGTGGCTGAAATGGCTAAGGGAAAACATGGCTGTCTCTCCCTCACAACCTCGAGCCCCCCCTCTCTCTCCTCTCCTCCGCTTCCTTCCACCAGCCCTCTTCCCTCCTCTTCCGCTTCCTCTTCCTCCTCCCAGCCCCCCTCCGCATCATCCCTTCTCCCTTTCTCTCTTTCCGATCTTGCCTCTCTCTCCCTCCACTGCCTCCCTCTCTCTGCCTCTACTGATGAATGGAGCTCTATGGCTTTTCTTCTCCGAGCCATTCTAGACTCTCACAAAACTGCTGCTCTAGCAGAACAACACAGGGTTAAGTCTCCTGCTTCTGCTGCTGCTTCTGCCGCTGCTGCTGCTGCTGCTGGGGGGAGGGGTAGGCGTGGTGGAGCTTCGGCCCGAGCCTCCGGCGCAGGCTTGGAGCCGCTAGGTTCGGAGCAGCAGGAGGCAGTGGCGAGCGCGCTGCTATTGGTGGAAGCTGGGGCTGTCCTTGCCACGTATGAGCTCCCCACACCCTACACCGCCCTCGTCCAATCACACAGCGACACGTCAGCAGCCCTCCAGCTCCTCCGCAGCCTCCTCTCCGCCTTCGCCCGCCTCCAGCCGCCCCCGGAGGATCCCGATTGGCTGGATCTCTTCCGCCACGTCAGCACGCTCAAACACTCCGCGTTCCTCCCCCTTTCCCCAGACTCCCTCCCTTCGGAAATGGCCAGAGTGCTGCTAAGGGAAGGGCGATTCGTGCTAGCCAGGCAGTTTCTGAGAAGCGGGGGAAGCGGGGGGACTGGGGGGAGTGGGAGAGGAAGAGGGGGAGGGGAGGACGTGTGGTTGGAGGAAGATGCGGTGTTGAGTGAGGATCGGGTTGAAGCGCTGGTGATTGGTGCTGCCAGGAACTTCTTCTACTCCTCCCCGACACTCGACTCCCCAGATGTAAGAGTTTGCTGATTTGCTCGTGGTGTCCCGTCAATCATTCCGGCCCACCTCCCTCCCGCACCTGCTGCCCCTGCACCTGTTCCATGCAACCCACCCAACCTCCTTCACCAACCACTCAAACTCTCCCATTTTCCCCTCCCTCTTGTGTTCCCCTCCTTTGCCTCCTTCCCTCTCCTCCCCCCCCCTCCCCCTCCTCCTCCCCTGCCTCTCCCCTCCCCTTCCCACACACCGCAGATCCACAGTGCATTCGCCTGTCTGGACATTCTCCCGCGCAGCCCAGCAGCAGCAGCGGAGAGGCAGCTCTTCTCAGCCCTTGTCATCGACCTCCCAGCGTGTGGCCTCCACCTGCTCCCAACCCGCGATCGCCTCGATATTATACACCAAGTGCTCAACCTCTGCCTCTCTGTTTCTCCACCCCTCTCTTCCACTTCCTCTGGTGTTCCCTTCCCCCCCCCTTCCCCCCCACCACCCGCAGATCCACAGCGCATTCGCCTGTCTGGACATACTCCCGCGCAACCCAGCAGCAGCAGCGGAGAGGCAGCTCTTCTCAGCTCTAGTCATCGACCTCCCAGCCTGTGGCCTCCACCTCCTCCCCCTCCACCTGCGCCAAACCCGCGACCGACTCGATATTATACACCAAGTCCTCAACCTCTGCCCGTTCCCTCCAATCTCCCTCCTCACCACCACCACCACCACCTCCTCCTCTTACTCCTTCTATTCCTCCTCTTCTTACCCTTCCTCTCACGTCTCCCCTTATTCCCCCTCCTCGGCGTCCTCCCCCTTCGCTCCGGTCTTTGCCGTCGATCTTGCGAACACAGGGGCACCCGAGGTCCTCACCCTGGCATGGAAATTAGGGCTGACGTCAGCAGCGGATGAAGGGAGGGTGCTAGAAGCGGTGGCGAGAGCAGCGGCAGCAAGGGCGGATATAAGAACGGCTAGAAAGGTCGTTCAGGAGCTCATGAGTAGGAGCTATGGAGGGATATGGGATCTCTGTGCTGCTTTGGCTAGGGGACCGGCTAGTAAGGGGGGAAGGGGAGGGTTGGGAGGAGGCAGGGGTGGGGGAATGGGCAGGTTGGGGAGGCAGGGAGGGAGGCTAGGGAGTGGGATGCAGGGGCAGCTGCAAAAGGGGAAGCTGTCGCGATCGGCTGTGGAGCTGGGTGCGGGTGAGGGGAGAAGGGGTGGTGTGAGTGGGAGAGGGAGAGGCGGAGCGGGATTTGAGAGGGTGGATGGGAGTGAGGATGGGGCGATGGGTAGTGATGGTGGGAGTGTGAGCGATAGCAGCAGCAGCAGCACGAGCCTGAGCACTATGATTGGACGAACAGTTGCTTCTGCAGCTGATCTGTCTGCTGATGTTAGCGTAGATGAATCCGCCAGCAGTGCAGCAAGCACCGCTGCTGACGTGGACGCTGACGTGGATGCTGACGTGGACGACGGATCCGATGACATCAGCATGCCGATCCGGAGGGAGTTCCTAGGGTTTGCTCTGGCTCATTGCGACGAAGCTTCCCTCCCGGACCTGCTAGCCTCGTGGCAAGGCTTGGATGCCACGGAACTGTGCGTGGCGCTAGGTGCGGCGACAGGCTTGGTGGTCCCAGGCCTGCGAGAGCAGGAGGCGCTGCTCCCGGACCTAGCTGCCGGCCGAGCCTCGGGCAAGTGGGAAGGCACGGAAGTGCTGGTGGTTCCCGAAGCTGCCACTGCCCCTGCTACAGCCGGTGCTACAGCCGGCAGAAGCAGCAGCAGTAGCAAAATCCGGGGGAAGGGAGGGAGCTCAGCTGTTACTACCACCAGCACTGGAAGAAAACTGGCTAGTCTGGGTGGGGGACGGGGGGCGATCGGGAGGGACGTGGGGAGGAGGGCGCTGGCGCTGGTATCGAGTGACGGGGAGGCGTGGGGGGATAAGCAGTGGGAGGAGGTGCCACGACTGCTGCTGCCGTTTGCCTGCCTGCACTTGCCCTGGATGCTCCAGGTGAAAACCCGCCGTGCTGCTGCTGCTGCCGCTGCTGCTGCCGCCGCTGCTGCTGGGGCTGCTGCAAAAACTGGAGGGACAGCATCAGCATCAGCAGCAGCAGCAGCAGCAGGCGGAGGGGGAGTGGCAGAAGCAGCAGCAGCAGCGGATCCTATAGTGGAGCAGATAGTGGTGCTGATTCTCCACGTGCTCGCGTCCTGCCAGGTGTCGCCCTCTGATAAGCTCCTGACCGAAGCTGCCCGGAGCGCCCTAACTGCTGGGGACATAGTCTCTGCTGCGGCAGCTGCGGCCGGTCTGTGGGGGGTACCTGGAGCAGGAGTAAGGGGAGTGGGTGGCTTGTCAGGTGCTGCGTCAGGTGCTGCGTCAGGTGGTGGATCAGGTGGTAGATCAGGTGCTGCCGAGTCAGGTGCCGGGCCAGGTGGAGGGGTAAGTGCTGATGGTTCTGGAGCAGCGGAAGGGAAAGAAGTTAGCCCTACAGCCGCTGTTGCATCTGCTGAGGTGGCAGCGTGTGATTCGCTGGCGATGGCGTTTCTGCTGCAGGCTGGGGATTCAGTGCGGGCGGCAGGGGTGATCGATGCTGAGATGGCGAAGCGGGATGGGGCGGATGCAAAGAGGCGGTTCGTGCTGCTGCTGCTGCAGTTCTCGTCGCTCCATGCAACTCTCTTCCTGCTAGCTGCTCAGGTGAGTGCGCAAAGAGCATCCCAGGGGTGGGTGGGGGTGATTGATGCTGAGATGGCGAGGCGGGACGGGGCGGATGCGAAGCGGCGGTTCGTGTTGCTGCTGCTGCAATTCTCGTCTCTTCACGCCACGCCCTTCCTGCTAGCTGCTCAGGTGAGTGCGCATGGAGCATCCCAGGGGTGGGTGGGGGTGGAAGTGATTGATGCAGAGATGGCGAAGCGGGACGGGGCGGATGCAAAGTGAGGGATGTGCTTAACAAAGTGGATGCTGCTGCAGCACAGAAGAACAGGTTCGACCTGGATCCAACAGGTGACTCGTCCTTAACAGGTATCTAGTGAGGGATGTGCTTAACAAAGTGGATGCTGCTGCTGCAATTCTCTTCTCTCCATGCCACACCCTTCCTGCTAGCTGCTCAGGTGGGAATTCAAGATTTCACGAGCATATCAGCCAAACACATCTGTCCTGTATTGATCATGCTCTCTTATGTTCCCTCCACCCCTTCGATTCAATTCCACCCGGCAGGCCAACGAGGCAGCGGTTGTGGGGTCACTGCTGCTGCTGTCTGTTGAGGCACCTTGGGTTGGCTATCCTGCTGCTGTGCTCTGCTCGTGCTGCAAGCTTCCTCCTCCTTGAACCCCCCCCCCCCCCCCCCTCTTTTCACGTATTCCACCTGGCAGACCAATGAAGCAGCCTTTGTGGGGTCGCTGCTGCTGCTGTCTGTTGAGGCACCTTGGGTTGGCTATCCTCGTGTAATGAGTCATGTTTTGAGTCGACTCAAAACACGACTCATTACACGCGGATTATATGTGGAGAAATTGTTTGTGGCATGGCAAATTGGTTGTAACCCTCACAGGTTACTGGTACGCGCGCGACTTGAACCCCCCCCATCCTTTTCACGTATTCCACCCTACAGGCCAACGAGGCAGCGTTTGTGGGGTCGCTGCTGCTGCTGTACTTCTGCATATCACTCAAGCACATGTCCTCCTGTGTTGCTCCTGCTCTCTCTCTCTCTCTCTCTCTCCGCTTTCTGCCCCCACACACGTTATTCCCCCTTTCAGGCCAATGAAGCAGCGTTTGTGGGGTCGCTGCTGCTGTTGCCGCCAGTGCTGCTCGCGCGCGTGGCAGGGGAAGCTTCCAGGAAGGAGGAGCAGCTGGGGGAGACCGGAGCCCTGGGGTCCAGGCCGGCAGTCAAGAGTTCAGGTGAGTGTAGCTGTGCAAGCGGTGGTGTGCGGTGCTGTGAGGTGGTGCTGACGATTTAGCCAGACACATCTGCAACCCAACTCTACATTCTCCTTACCCAATCCCCCAAACCACTTCGTCACTCTTGCAGCCTGCACATGCCAGCTGTGCAAGCGGTGGTGTGAGGTGCTGTGAGGTGGTGTGTGGTGCGGTGGCACTGACTGACTGCTCTGCCGCTCCCATCCTCCCTCTCTAACACTCAACTCCCTTCTCTCTCACTCCCTCATCCCCTTTCTCTGTCTTATCCCCTTACCACGTCACAGCCCGCGCGCGCCAGCTGTGCAAGCGGTGGTGTGAGGTGGCGCTGACGATGCAGGGGCGGCTGCGAGTGGTGGAGGACACACGGGCGCTGCGCGCGCTGCTGCCCCGCGCTGATGTGGCGCGCTTCGTGGCGCGTGATGTGGCATACATGGAGGCTGCTATCGCCTCATTGGTCGACGAGACCGATTCTGCTGCTGCCACTGCTGCTACTGGAGGGGCCTTGGCAGAGGCAGTGGGACCGATGCCTCACGCCCTCGCCTCTGCCCTCTCACTCACTCAGCTCTACCACGTGGACTCCTGGCAGGTGAGGGTGGGTGCTGTTGTTACCAGTGCTGCTGGTAGGTATTGCAGCGAGCACAACAGAATGTGCTGCTGCTGCTGGGGGAGGGGCCATGGCAGAGGCAGTGGGGCCGATGCCTCACGCCCTCGCCTCTGCCCTCTCTCTAGCCCAGCTCTACCACGTGGACTCCTGGCAGGTGAGCATAGGATTGGCTGCTGTGTTGTTGACTTGACAGCTGGCAGGTGAGTGTTTAGGTCGAATGCTGTGCTGTTGACAGCCGGCGAGAGGAAATTGGTGGCGATACTTGCAACAGCAGGTACTGCTCACTTTCGCTTCTTCTGAAACAACAGAGAATCCTGAAGAACAGGTTCTGGTGTAACATGGTTCTGAGTTACCAGCTCTTTTTTTGTCTCATGTGGTGCAGGTCCATTTGACGTACGTCCGCTCTGTGCTGCTCTCTGATTGGCCGGAGCAAGATATTGTCACTGAGGTGGAGGCACACAAAGCCGCCATCTGTACCCGTCCCACGTCAGCCTTCTCCTTCCTCTGGACCTCCGTGCTCCCCCGCTTTCTCACTCAAATACAGACAAAAACCCACACTGACACAGGGTTATACGCTCAGAAACACCCCCCCACACTCCCCACCCTCGCACCCTACCTCCTCCGCCTCCTCTCCCACTGCCTCCTCTCCTCGCTCTCCCCTCCCCCTCCTCCCTCCTCCCCTCTCACCCCCTCCCCTCCTCTCTCCCGCCCGCTCTCGCTCCCGCTCCCACCAACCCCTCTCACCGCACTCAACTCCTTTGTATCGTCAGCGCAGAGCGCAGCATCCCTTGCTCCCAGGCTCTCTCTTTTAGCAGAGCAGATTGAGAAGGCAGGGGGCCTTCAGCCTTCACTGGATGGGTGGGTGCTTCTGGGGGCGGCTGTTGCTGGTGCAGGCACAGCAGGAGCAGTTGGAGCAGCAGAAAATAAGGACAGTGCTGGTGTTATGGAGGTGGAGAGAGCGGTTGAGAGGGAGATAGAGCGGTGCTTCGACGGATCCTCTGTGCTGACTGCTGCTGAGATCATCTTGTCTCTTTCTGCCGCTGCTACTGCCACTGCTGCAACAGCAACTGTGCCACATGCTGCAGGAGAAGCAGCTGCTGGGTTGCCTGCTTCAGCAGGATTTCCCACAGATCCAGCCTTCCAGGACCGCTTTAATCAGAGCCACTTGCTCTGGCTCTTTGCTAAGTGCCAGTTGAGACAGGCTGGCGTGCTTGCCGACTCATATTCCCCAAAGGTTTATATGGAAGAGAGGAGGAGTGACGGGGTGGCAATTGGTGACAATAAAGGCAGCAAGGAAGACGAGAAGGAAACCGGGAAGGGAAAGAGGTTGAGTCTGGAGGGGTTGCAGTCAGCCCGTGTAGCCATGGCTGGATCTCTCTCCCTGCTCTCAGAGGAAAATCGGCGGGAATTTACGCTCCTGCTGCTGCAGGGATGTGAGCGGTGGGTTCTAGAAGCGTGCTCTGCAGGGGAAGGCAGTGGAGCGAAGAGAAGCGGGGTGAGAGGAGGTGGTCGTGGGAAGAATGGGAGGGAGCGGAGGGGTGGGAGAGGGAGGGAGGGAGGAGAGGTGCGGAGGGGTGTGGAGCTTTGGCTAGATGTTGTGGGGGATTGGATGGGGTGTCGCGGTGGGAGGTTGGACGGGGGAGAAGGGAAGGAGGATAGGGAGGAGAGGGAGGAGAAAGAAGAGTCTGTGGTGGAGTGCGGGAGATGCATTCAGAAGCTGCTGACCAATGGGGTCGTGACACGTCAGCAAGGTGTGCTACTCCTCCGGTTCCTCTCGGACTCGTTGCTGAAGACCCAATTGTCCTCGGATGAGAACAAGTCAGCTGCCACGTCAGCTGCCAGGTCAGCAGCCAGGTCAGCAGTCCATTCAGCACAAGAGACGGACCTTCAATCTCAGGGTAATTCACCCCTGAATGGAGGCAAAATCTCTCCTGCACGCGCTTTAACCCAGGCTTTAATGCGTCAGATGGTTCTCGTGGGGTGCCCCTTACTCGCCCTAGTCGCCCTAGCCCAGGCCACACACGGCCGTGACAGCTGGCAGCTGCCTATTGGTGCAAACCAGCGGCGGCGTGTGCTGACGTCAGCAAGGTCAGCAGGAGCCAATCAGGGAGCGGGACGAGCAGGCGGGAAGATCGGGAGAGGAAGGGAGGTAGGAGTAACGGCAAGTGCTGCTTCCAGGAAGCTTCCTGGTGATGCGGGCAGCGAGACGGGGAGCACGGGCGGCGAACAGGAGGAGTTCGCAGTGAGTGACGTCAGCAGGGTGGCTGGTGACGCCAGCAGGGGAGGCAGGGGGACAGGGAGAGGAGTGCGCGGGCGGGGAGGGAGGGCTGGTAGGACTAGTAGGGGAGGAGGGGGGCGAAGGGGAGAGGAAGAGGAGGAGGGAGAAGGAAAGAGTGAGAAAGAGAAGGAGGAAGACCCTATGGACCTATTTGCTTCTATGGGCTTAGTTTCATCTGCTCCCCGTGCCGCTGCTGCTGGTGCTAGCAGCTTTGGCAAGCCTGAAGCTTCCAAGAAGAAGCCTCTGGTAGTCTCCAAGGCTGGTGGTAGGCTCGGGGCGTTGAGAAAGGGAGGCTCGGCAGCTTCGGCACCAGCTTCGGTAGAGCCAGAAGGTTTAGCCCCAGGCTCAATGCTTGGTTCGGTTGAATCACTCCCGGATATGGCTGCAACCACTGCCTCAGGTGCCATTTCAGGTGATTCTTCAGGTGCCCTGTCTGTTGCAGTTTCACCCGGGGAGGGCGGGCATATGACAATGGACTTTGCAGCAGGGGCTGCTGGAGAGGAAATATCCGTTTCCTCCCCACAGCCGAAACCCCTGACACCAATAGTTTCTCCTGCTGCTACTCCTGCTACTCCTGCCACTGCTGCGACTACTGGTGACTGTAATAAGGCTGGTGCTGGTGCCGAAGCTGCTGCAGCTGTTGCCTCTCGTCCTGAGATCAGTATTGTGGATCTGTACTTGTCGGTATTGCGAGAGCTTATGGGAGAAGGACCGCAGCTTCATGTGCATGCTTGTCCTGACCGGTTAGCTCAGGCGATTATGAGAGTGATTCTTTCACTGGTGGAGGCGAGGGAAGGGGAGGTACAGCAGGTACTGAGTGTGAGAGATGGGGGAAGTGAGAGAGAAGAGGAGGAGGAGGAGAGTGGGTGGGGGCTTGATTTATCAGGGAATGTGGAGGAAGAGGATGGGGGGGAGGATGAGGAGAGCGGGTGGGGGCATTTTGAGGTTCTTGTTTCATCTGTGCGCTCTGCTGTGTGGAGGCTGCTGGTGCGCGTGGGAACGCAGGAGGGGGAATCAGCACTGACGCTAAGTGCCACACTTAGCAGCGACACTGCTGCACACTCCCCTGTGGTGCAAAGTGCCACACTTAGAGCGGCTGTTTTGGATGCTGTGAAGGCTGTAGCTCCAGCCTCGTCTGACCTATCAGCACCTGCCACGTGGCTCTCTGGGAGAGGGTTCTTTGTGGATGCTGTAGGGCTCGGGGTGATGAGCGGTGTAGAGGGGTGCTGGGGGGTGTGGGATCTGGAAGAGGTGGGAGAGGAGGAGGAAAGATGGGTGGGAGGGGATCAGAAGGATGACGTGGCACTGGACAGGTGGCGCTGGGCGGCGCTGCGTTCCCGCGCGATCGTGCAGTCTGACTGGCCGGGAGAGCTCGCTGACGTGGCGCCGCTGCTGGATGACGTGGCAGCAGACGGCAGCTTCGGAAGCATAGGTTCGGCAGTTGAGTCATTCAAACAAACCTTCTTCATTCTGGATAGCGGCGCAAGGGGGAGGCAAACGAATGCAGTGGATACTCAAAAGCAGCAGCAGCAGCAGCAGCAGCAGCAGCAGCAGCATCGTGAGCTATCCCTCCTGGCTCTTCTGACCATATGGGACCCTCTCCTCGCTCCCAAGTGGTGCCATTCCACTGCCACCCCTGCCACCACAGCTGCTGCTGGCAATGCTGCTGGCTCTGCTAGCAATTCCGCTGCTGCTGCCACCACCACTGCTGCAGCTGGGCTGCATCCGCTGCACGAGTGCTGGTTCCTGCCTCTCCGCCGCTGCGCTCTCTGGCCCCCTGTTGTTGCGGCAGCAACACCAGCAGCAGGAACGTCAGCAGCAGCAGGAATAGCAGGAGCAGGAGCAACAGCAGCAGCAGCGCAGGGCAGTGTGCTCGTGCCGTCGCTGCTGCTCTCTGCTCTTGACGCTGCTGCCTTCCTTCCCTCAGGCAAGAGGGCAGCAGGGCGAATGCTGCTCTCCCGAGACGAGGCAGAGCAACTTCTGGCTGATACTGCTGCTGCTGGGAACAGTAACAGTGGTAATAGGGTTACCAGCGGTATCAGCGGTAGTGGCAATGGTAACAGTGGTAATAGCAGTGCCCTAACAGCGGCCTCTCAAGCTGCTCTCTTTATGCTTAAAGTGGCTCTGTTGCTGCCGTACCCCCAGGTATGGCTGCAGTCAATGCAGCTGGTGAAAGTAGCTGCTGCTGCTGCCACTGATGCTGCTGCTGAGGCTGCTGGTGGTGGGGGTAAAGGGAGGGGTAGAGGCGGGTGGGGCGATGGGTGGGGGGGAGAGGAGGAGGAGGAGGAAGAGGAGGAAGAGTATGAGGAAGAGGAGGAGGACGAGGATTCGTTTTATGATGAGGAATATAGTGATGATGATGGTGGGAGGGTGGGAGGGGGGAGGAAGGGTGGCTGGAGGGCGGGTAGGAGAGGAGGGAGGAGAGGAGGAAAGGGAGGGAAGGATCGAGGACCCTCATTGGATAATGAAGCTCTAACGCTGCTGCTAGCGGCTGATATCGTGCGACAGATGGCAGATGCTCATTCGGCGGTGGTTCGGCCGTTGCTAGGAGCTATGGCAATGGTTATCCCCCCTCTAGCGGTTCAGTTGCAAGAGGAGCGGAGGAGGGAGAGAGAGCGGGAGGAGAGAGGGGGGGTGGAGAGCGAGGAGGGGGAGGGAGGAGAGCCGGCGAGGAGGAATGGAGGTGAAGGGAGTGAGCAGGTGGAGAGTGGAGTGGGGTTTGGAGGGAGGAGGGGTGGTGGGGGTTGGAATGGGGAAGAGGATAGAGAGGAGGATGAATTGGGAGAGGGCGGTGATAAGTTTCAGGTGAGAAGTGAGCAGCAGCAGCAGGGACAGAGGAGAGGTATGCTGGGCTCACTTCTCTCTCATATCAGCGCACTCGCACCGTTGCCAACCGGGGATGATGACGATGTTGGTAAAAGTGATGATGATGGTGATGGGATTGGTAACAATGACAAGGAAGTGCATGGTAGGGAGTATGGCAATTACAGCAGCAGCAGGGCTGGCGGTAGCAATAAGGGTAATACCAGCAGGGAGGAAGACAGCAGCAGCAGCAGGGGAGACAGCAGCAGCAGGGGAGATACCAGCAGCAGGAAGTGCGATAGCAGCACGGTGGGGCCTCCGCCTCTCTATCGCACAGCCTTCCCCCATTTCGTCGCCTCTCTCACTGCCGCCCGGCAGTACGAGCTTGCCGCCCCTCTTGCCCTGCAGTTTCTGGGCAGGCCGACGTTTTCCCGCAACTGGGCAGCTTCTCGGGCAGCTCTGAAGGAATTTCTTGTGAGCGAGCTGAGGGCTGCGGAAGCAGCAGGATTTGGGAAGATGGGGAAAGGAGATTCCGGTATATCTAACGGGAGACGTTGGGAAGCTGAGGTTTCAAGTGGTGATAGTAAAGAGAGCGGTGGTGGTGGTGGTGGTTGTGCTAATGGTGAAGGGGAGTTGGTGTATCTGTCTGGAGCGTTGTTTCACATCGGTGTGAATCTTCCAGACGTCTTGCTACTCGCTCTGCAAATGCTACAGATTGATGCCTAAGTTGGATTTCAATTCAAGAGATAGTCTAGTACCGTAGCTACAGGTACTTGGGGACCTGGTTAGCCAAGACTATCAAGTTTCCTATATCAAGTGGAGTGGAGGCTTTGAAAATGAGATGTCAGTGCTCCATCCAGTCATGTTGCTTAGATGTAAGATCATTTCAGCGGAAGGACAGCAATTATGGGTATTGAGTTTTATGGGGTACAAAGGTTACAATAATTATACCCCACTCTGCATCAAAAACCTACAAGCTGGGTCCAACAAAGACTGGAGAAATACCACAAAACAAAACTCAATCAATACAGACATGCATTCAATACAGACATTCCACAGGTAGCAAAAACTAGTGGGCCTGTGTAACCAATCACTTGCAGCCATCTGTCAGACCAGCAACCCGAATAATATTTTCTGATGCTGCGACAGCAACCAGTCACATCACATGTAGCTACCACATGCCAGATCAGACAGCTGAGGAGGCGAATGAGATGCTGCAAGTGAGTGAGTGAGGGAGATGAGGAGTGAGTGGGTGGGGGAGATGAGGGCGTGAGAAGCAGGGCCCAAAATTCAAGGGTGTTTTACCCTTTCTACCCTTGCTATGGGCCGCTTTTCCAGGATTGCCCTGATTTAGTACGTGTATTTGCCAAACGACCCTGACTGTAAAAATGTAGTTTTTGAAATACACTTTCAAAATCAGGCCTCCCCGAGTTTTCCCCTGACGAGTCAGGGTACTTTTTGAAATGCACTGAAACAGACTTCCTTCGTGTCGTTTCTGTGCAACAGGGCCCGTGTGGCCACTCGACCGAGATTGGTTACAAAACTGGCCCCAGCAGTCACTTTCGCACTGTCAGCTCTACAAAACACACCACACCACAAGTATGAGGTAGTGGCATTTGGATTTTGCTCTTGCATTCAGGGTGGTTCCATAAATACCCTTACAAAGACAGAATACTGGCCAAAACACACTGATTAGCACTGGGCAATTTTTTTTTCACCCTGACTGTCAGGCAAAGGGGCCAGGGGGACCCTGATATGGCAGGGTGCCCCGAAACCAATTTCTGGCCCTGGTGAGAAGCACTGAATCGACTGACATGAGCAGCAGTCACATCACATGTAGCTACCACATGCCAGATCAGACAGCTGAGGAGGTAAATGGGATGTTGCAAGTGAGTGAGTGGGGGAGATGAGAGAGTGAGTGGGTGGGGGAGATGAGAGGAGTGAGTGGGTGGGGGAGATGAGGGAATGACAAGCACTGAATCGATTGACATGAGCAGCAGTCACATCACATTAGTTACATGCCAGATCAGACAGCTGAGACGAATGAGATGCTACAAGTGAGTGGGTGGGGGAGATGAGGAGCGAGTGGGTGGGGAAGTTGAGGAGTGAGTGGGTGGGGAAGTTGAGGAGTGAGTGGGTGGGGAAGTTGAGGAGTGAGTGGGTGGGGAAGATGAGGGGTGAGAGGGGAAAGGTCAGGGGGGGGGGGCGGGGAGGGGGGGGGGGAGGGGGATGTGGGGTGGTTAGAGAGAGGGAGACTAGGGTTGATGAGGCGGTGGTAGGGGAGGGGAGGGAGATGAGGGGTGAATGATTGTAAGTGTTGTGCATGATGTTGCTGTGACTGATATTGCAGCGGGGAGAAAGGACGAGGGTAAATGGGGAGCGGGGGTTGAGCAGTGAGTGAGTGTGGGGGGAATGGGGGGAGAAGGGGGGAGGGAGAGAGATGGGGAACGAGGGCCGAGCGGAGGGGAGATGAGGGGTGGATAAACGGGGAGAAAATGTGAGAGCGGGGAGATAAGACGAGAGCGCAGGGAAATGAGGGGAGAGTGGGGGGGAGATGAGGGATGCGAAACGTTTCTGGGAGATTAAGGGGTCAGTGGGGAGGGGAATGAACGGAGAAGGGGGGATTTGGGGGGGGGAGAAGAGGGAGGGGAGGATGGGGAAAGAGATGGGGCGATGAGGGAACAAGGGAAAGAGGGGAACAAGAGGGGTATGAAGAGGGGGACGCTTGAGGGAGATTAACGGGTCAGCGGGGAATGCGGCACCTGCCATACCCGCACTCCCGCTCTCCTCTTCTCAAAAACAGAAATGCGGCACCTGCCATACCCGCACTCCCGCTCTCCTCTTCGTCAGGTCCCGCTCTACCATCGCCGCCACCTACGCCATTGGCGCTACCAGCGCCACCGACGCCACCCGCGCACCACGCCAGGGATCAGGAGCCTGCCATACCCGCTCGCTTCCTCGTCACCGTCGCCACCGTCGATACCGTCGCTACCATCGCCTTACCGTCGCTACCATCGCCTTACCGTCGCTACCGTCGCCTTACCTTCGCTACCGTCGCCTTACCGTCGCTGCTCGTGCCTCCGCATGACAAGCCTCCACCAGTAAAAGCTACTAACGCGCGCGCAAATCGAGGCTATTAATCCGTCCACATACGAACATCTAGAGCGCGCAACTAAACGTACGTTATCATGATCTGATACTACTTACTTATTACGGCACTATACGTTCGAAGCGGCGGGCACCGGAGTGCGACTTACACGTCTGCGAAGACATGACTCATGGATCCAAGAACACGATGCGAGGCTACACGTAATACTAACTAACGCGCCTTGATCTCACCGAACGAAACATAATCAGGCAGCAATACAAAGATTATGGTGCCGGGAAAATTCTCGCTGGCTTGATCGGACGGGACTAAGGTAAGGAGATGTAAGTCACACCCTCGCTACTAGAACTGGACTAAGTCGTAACAACAAAATTAGGTATGGCAGGTGAAAATTGTGAGGTTCGGGTTGTTGATTCAATACGGTGGTGGTTGTGCGAGGGTGACAAAAACGCACTTCATTCCTATTGGCTAGCACAAATCCTTCCCGATCAACCTTATATTTTCAACTGCCCAATCCAACTTCGGAGGGCCAAAATGAGCCCAGAATAAACTTCCTGCGCCACGCACGAACGAATTTCCTACCACGCCACCGCCGTCCCGCAGCTCACGCAAAAGTTTCAAATATTCAGAAAAGTGTCACGTCCACAGCCTCCTAGAAAGTTCTAGCCTGCCCTAGCCCGACCAGAGCTCCACACCAGCGCTGCTCAACAAAACGACCCCACAAGGATACGCGCCTTCAGCAGATTTGTTAGCAGGAAAACAAGGAAAGAAACAAAACAGAACTTGCTAGCGTGTGAAAGGAGTTCACTACTTTGGTAGGAACTTGGATGACGTCAGCTCAAAATTTTTGGCCACATCGAAAAGTCACCCCCAGCATTCTCCACGAGCCGCTCAGAATTTCCCCTCGAAGGAATTTTCTGATCTGACATTTCCTAGGCGGGGAATTTCTTGCCCCACCGCGCGCAGGCCGTCACAAGCACAGCCCCATCACATGCCGCGGCAAAATCTTCGCCGTTGCTGCAGCTACTCCACCACCATCCGTCCATCCATTCACATTGCCTCTCTCCCCGCACCGCGCAGCCCAGCAGACTGTCATTCATTACCGCACTCAACCAGCACAAAAGGAGCCGCGCCATGCTGCACCGACTGCACTCAGCCATCGCATTTGGGTGGTCCCCGCGCTAAGACGAACCGCGCGGCCGCCAAATTCCAAACTCAACATACGAGTTCTTTCATCCTGCTTTTGCAGACAACTCCTCTTCCATCAAAACTTACCAAGTCTCATTCTCAACCTTCTTTCCGGATTCATTCCTTCACGATTTCAAAGGACTTTCGAAAAGCTCCAACCCAATGAGCTTGATTCGGACTTCAGGATACAAGCTCCACGGAGCAAATCAGCTTAACTTACCTGAAGCCTCCCGGCTAGTACATGGGGAAGCCCGAGTGCATGCGGCAGCGTGAGGTCGTGTAGATTAGATGAGATGGGTGGGGTGGGTTGGGTAGATTAGAGTGTCTGAGCGAGCTGCTGCTGCCTTGGTGCCGAACCGTGTACTACGCCAAAACTCCGTGGCAATCCCTTTACCGCGACATCTAAAAAATCTCCTCCGCAACTTCAGCGTGGCGAGATTATGACTAAGAGACCATCACGCCATGATTTCTCGCGGCGAGGTCTCCGCTACAATCTCTTCGCGGCGCGATGTTACCTACGTGATCTTCACGCCAAGATCCTTCACGGCGAAATCGTCGCTGCGAGTTCTCCCTTCTAAACTCGCCACTGCACGAGCTTCAATGGCTGGCAAAGTCTTCACGCCGAAGTTCCCTGCTGGCGCGATCTCCTTCAAAGTCTCCGAAGGTGTTCTCCTTGCTTCGATAACGCTCTGATGGCGAGGTCTCCCTTGCGCTGGCGCTCCAGAGGAGCTTCGACGGCGATGGCGCTCCTATGGCGCCGCAGCATCTCCGGTCGCTCGAGTGGAGGTAAGCAACATTCTTCAGCCTCTTCCTTGAACCTTGTTTGCTGGTTGAAACTTGAAATCATTTGCCGTTTTCAAAAGTTTTCAACTTACTTCTGTAGATCCTTCTTTTTGCAAAGTTTGCCATCTGACTGAACTCCATTTCTGGTTTCCTGCAGGCAACCATCTTGCCGCCGACTCTACGCCGTCTCAAGAGCGGAGCTTTCGCTACCGACTGGAGTTCTCGCCGTTCCGAGGAGCTCAAGCCCTGGAAGCTTCCTGGCTCCGATGGCGCTCCGATTGCGCTCCGACGGCTCGAGTGGCTTCTGGCGCGACCTCCTTTGTTGCTCGTGTGGAGGTGAGCAATTATTTTCTAGATTCATTCTTGAGGATTTTTTTTGCCGTAACTTCCAACTCTACGAATCTCCAACTCTTTCTGCAAGTTCGGTTTATACTTCATTTTGCCGCTTGACGTGGTTCTAACTATATCCTCGTCTTTCTGCAGACAACTGACAATTTCGCCGCCGACTGGAGCATTCAAGTCAAGATTCCTTGAAGCTGGAGCTTTTCTCGTCGTAATCGCGTTACCTTAGCCGCCGATTGTCGTAATCGCGGAACTTTCGCCGCCGACTGGAGCTTTCCCCGTCGTGATCGCGGAGCTTTCGCTGCCA